TCACACATGCAGGTGGAGTCTCTTTCTGCCCCCCCCGCCCAAAAAAAAAAAACCCTCTTCGTGACCTTTATCTGACATCTAAGACAGTAGGAACTTCCGTGAGCTGCTCAGGTGGAGCCCCTATCACCCCTCACCTCCTCCTTGCTAGTTGTTGTCAGACTGCCAATCTGAGAATGAGGCCTGAATTGCACTGATGGAGGATTCATGCTGCAGAAGTGGAAAGTTTATTTGTTCTCACAGCTGAAAATAAAGGAAAATCCCCCAAACCTTCAGATAATTCAGACACACGGTTATGCAGCCTTTTTCTTATTTGTCAAAGTTTGACCTGCCATCGACAGCTGCTGACCTTTCCCGTCTTTATCAAATGTGGTCCATATTTTACAAAATTACCTCCATGTTTTGCTCAGCTTGTACTGAAACCCCCAGTTGAAACCAGGAAGTCATCAAGAAAGTGTTTGTTGATGTCACAAGTTAAGGGAGTGCCCCCTGCTGACTGTTAGACAGTACTGCAACATTGAGAAGCAGTGTTCATCTTTTATGTACAGGTGATATACACAGCCACCACCCTATCCTGCCGGCTTAGGCACTCTTTAAAATGTTTTTTGTTTTTTAAATGTCAGTTCAAAGTTTATATTAACCATCCAGATAAATAGCACATTGTCTACAAACCAAATATTAATATAAATTAATTTGGGAGTCTTGCTATCAGTTGTCCATTTATAAACAGCAGTCAGGGAGACATGTTATCAGATAGTATGAACCTGACTCCATCTACACACCACAGCTCTGTGAGGGATGCAGCACCTATGTAAAATTGCTTTTATTAGATAACAAAAAAAGCGCTTAAAGTGGTGGCTCGATACACTGCTGCGTGTCTCCGATACAGTTTTGTTCCATCTGGTAGAATTGGATGCAGTCAGTTCCTGTGGCCACATTGCAGCCAGGATGCAGCGTGGTGTATTTCAGGGAAAAGATGCTGGCTGCCCTGTTAACATTCTGTTTGTGTGACTGTATTTGTCTCTCTTTGTAGTTCCTCAGCACACTGTTTGCTCCTCTGAACTTTATCATGGAGAAGGTGGAAAGCATCCTGCCATCCAGCCTCTGGCACCAGCTCACCCGCATCTGACCCCGACCGACAGAAGGGCCGACCGGACCAGGAATCAGACCCAGGACCAGCACCAAGAACAGACCTCTATCTGGACAGAAACAGCTGAACTGAAATCCAGAACACTGCAGTGGACTAGACTGACGCGCCTCTGTGCCAAGTTCAAACCAAACCGAGAGCAGATGGGAATCCGAGGAGAGGCGCGAAACAAAAATGCTAAACAACACCCAAAATTGGTTTTGACTTTATTTGATATGTTTGCATTTCTTTGGGTTATCAGTCATTTAAAGCTGTTCTTTTGTTGTACAAAAAGAGATGATCAATTGCCATCATTAAAAAGGTGAAAAGGAAAAAAAATACAATAAAGGACTTTTTGTGTATTGCTGCAAAAATGCAGTGTTTTTACTGGCTGTCCCACATACTGTGAAATCAGCTGACCTTGATACCAGCACCACCAGATACAACCGGCTGGGTTTTGTTTCTCTGCAGGATCCATCACATATTTGGAGCGTTCATTCTCAAACTAAAAGCTCACTCCACAGTGGAAAAGTTGTTCCTGCAACTGCTGAAGCTCCACGTCAGCTTATTGCAAGTCCATCGTCATCGAGTTTGATGGTAAAATGCTCAACTAAACAGCATTAGAAGACACATTCACAGCCTGGTACAACAAACAGTTTTATTTCTCTATAGTTTATAAAAGTTGTGGGATACATTTGAACAGCGAAGCTTAAGCTGTTGTGCAAGCCTGCTTCCATTTGCAGTCCACTCACTGTTGGTGACTGTTGGAGCGTTTTGATGGAATTATCAGACAGTTGTTGTGGCTTTCAGTGTGGTGTAAAAAGTTTGTGTTGCAGGTATTGTGAAGTGATATGTTTAATAGTAACTGCTTGCTAACCAAGCTTGCATGTGCTGTCTGACTTAGACATCCCAGATATAGCTCTGAATACAAGTCAACAACTCAGGTCCTTTCCCACTAACCCAGTGCCCAGTCCTGAACTGGTTCTGCATATTTGCACCATTCAAGGATTTGCTGGTCCCTTAGGGTTGGTGACGTCATTAGTTATGCAGATTGTCTCCACTGCGATTTCCTTCCCACAGAAACGACCTAAGCAATGCTCAAGCATGTCTGGATGTGTACCAGCTTCCACAAGGTGCCAAAGCAATGCATCTTAATGATGAACTGTGACTCAGACCTCATCACCAGGGTGCATTAATCTAGCTAAACAAGCTGCTTGAGAAGTTTGTCCAGTTAACAGAACACTAGTCAGAGAAATCAGAATCTATTCATGTGTTTTTGTTCATGAGACTCTTTAAATCTGGACACAGTGTAAGTTTAAACCATTTATTCTGTAGAGTTCAGTTGTAAGGCTTATATTTTAATCTTACACAGCTGATGTGCAATTTACAGACAGGACATGTATTACATCTAATGAAGCAACTGGTGAGAACAGCTGCTAGTTTGCTTTACTTGTATTCCTCAGTGTATAATGACTGCTCAGGCCGCCGCCTCTCCTGTTTGTCACTGATGATGTTTGATTTCACAGAGTCCTGCTTGAATATTGCTCCTTAATCTAATATTGGTAGCAGGCACAATAACAGTGAAATGTAAACAGAGGTCCTAGTTATTAACACATTTCTAAGAAACAATGACAAAATGCGCATTTTAACTACAAGAAAAAGCATTTCTGATTATTTTTTTCTAGTTCTAGATATTTTAACTGTTTTCAAGCATTTATTTTAACAAGATGTTGACTACAATACCCCTTAGACTATCTTAATGATCAGTTACTTATAGTGATTTTCCAGAACAAGGCTGATGTGCAGAGCTGTAACACAGAGGGATAAAGCTGATGAATTATATCTCAAAGCAATGGGAAAGAGTTGTTAAAGCTAAGTTATGAAGAGAGGTAATGATGAGTGAGCAGCATTCTGCTGAGAGAGCGCACTACAAATATGTTTGCTTTGAGAGTGTTGACAGAAGTATAGAGGTCGAAGGGAGTAGCACTGCGTCTTTGTGGACCTAGAGAAGGATATAAGGGCCCAAGAGAGGCACTGTGGTACTGCACGAGGAGTGTCAGAGGATTATGTGAAGCTGGTGAAGGACGTAGGAGGACTGTAAGAGTGCCAGATAGGTTCAAGGTCAGGGATTGACTGAACCCTTTCTTGTTTGCAGTGATGATGGAGAGGTTGACAGATGGCACTGATCTGTAGTGAAAGTAGGGAACAGGTGGAGGTATGCGCTGGAGAGAAGAGGGATGAAAGTCAGTAGACAGAATCCAAGTGTGTGGAAGAAAAGGGAACTGGTAGAGCAGTGAAGCTGCTTTAAATAGCCTGCAAAGCAATAGAGTGCAAAAGAAGAGAGTGCAGGCAGGGTGGAGATAAGTGTTGGGTGATTTGTAACACAGGGATACAAATCACCCAGGCTTACAAGGAGGTAGTGAGACCTACTACGATGCAGTTTGGAGATGGTGGGACTAACAAGAAAGGAGGTAAAACTGAATGAGGTTGAGTTGAAATATTTTCCATTGTGAATGACCAGGATGAACAGGATTAAACGATTATATCAGAGGGTTGAGCATTTTGGAGACAAAGTTAGAGAGGCAGGGTTGAGATGGTTTGGACATGGGCAGAGGAGAGATGGTGGATATACTGGATGAAGAATGTTGACTATGGAGCACAGAGAAGATTCATGGATGTAGTGAAGGAGGATATGGTTGCAGAAGAGAATGATAGAGTTAGGGTGAGATGATGCTGATCTTCTGTTAGGACTTCTAAAGGGAGCACCCAAAAGAAAATGATCATTCAAACAGAATCCCTGTAGATACTTAAAAATATAAGGTCATAAATGTAAAACTTTCCTCATAAATACAGTAAGATGCTATGTCTGTTATCAACATTATGGTTTACTTCTAGCCTTTTTAAAAGACTTGGAGAAGATGGCACTAATGTAGGACATCAGTGAAATTGCTGTAGGTCCTGCCCGCATTAATTTTGCACTGTTTCTGAGTCAAATGACAGTGTCCACTCATTTTCCAGCTGCTGTTTTCTACTAAGTAAGGAGATTTAATGATGGAGAGAGAAAACAGCTGAAGGACCATGTTCTGTGCATATGGTGGTACCTCTGGAGCAGAAAGCCTCTAATGAGCAGACAGAAAGCGAGAGAGAAGCTTGTGATACGCTATGTTGAATGAGACTGGCGTGACAACAGCTTACACTGAAAGCACGCAGGGGAAAAGAACGCTGGTCGTACTTTATGTTGTAAATGGTTTGCTGACAAGTGTAAGGTGCCACGAGAACAAATCTAAACAACAAGCTGATAAACTGTGTGGAGAGCTGCTATGTGTTAAACTAGAGGTGTTGAAGGCTTCACAGGAGCAGACCAAAAACCTCCATGCATGTTGATTCAACAAAACTATAAAAGATATTACACATAATTTAAGTTATATTTCAGTATATACTTGGTCAGTCCTTGGGGCCTGTTTAAGCAACAGTTCATCTCCAAACCATCACAACTGGAGCCAGCAGATCAAATGCTAGCCTGTTAGTCTCAATAGTATTTTTTTGTGTTGGTTCAGCAGGAATCTGAAGCATGATTTGACTGATACATTCTCAAAGTAACAGCTACAGACATTCAGCAGTCAGGCTTTAAATGTCTCTGAGTCTGGAAGTTCTTTCCACGTAGCATCCAAAAGAAGAAAAAGATGTGAATTTTTTTGGTGAGGAAAAGAAAAAAGTGTCTGAAAACCTAACAGACCTTCAGAGGGCTCGGAACTAAAGGCAGACTCGAGATTATCAGTTAGATTGTCGTAACAAGACATCAGGTAGAGCTGAGGAGGAACGGGGGGGACTCTGGATGCCCGATATGAGGCGTCAGTCAAGTTTAGTGGTGGCGAGGTCACGTCTGGCCCTTACAGGTGTGCACGTCGACCTGCTGGTGGCAGTCACGGCAGTGGACTGCACAGCACCACTGGAACTTGCACTCGCACTTGGTTGTGCGGCTGATGCGAGACGTGTCGTAGCCACGGCCACAGCACATCACTTCGCAGCCATCTACACCTCGGGATGTCCGGTTGCAGACCCGCCCACCTGTCCCCATCGACCCTGGAGAGAGAGCAAATGAGACGCGGTCAGTGAGAATAAATTTAGCACAGTATGACTATTAATTTAAAATGAGTTTTTGATCTGTGGGACCCACCCTAATGGTGAGAACACAAGTTATTAACAGTGGAAAATCAAAACCTAGACAATTTATCAAAGGAACATAAACACTGAACACTAGTTTAGTAGAGAGTGCAAACACTTTGTCTTCCAAGCTAACGTGTTAGAGGTAGGAAAAAGTATTGGGGTCAAATTGTGATGGGTAGACGACTGGGTCACAACATCTCCAAAACTGCGGCTCTGGTGGGGTGTTCCTGGTCTGCAGTGGTCAGTATCTACCAAAACTGGTCCAAGGAAGGAACTTTGGCAAACTAGAGAAAGGGTGATGGGCTGCCGGTCTGATGATTCAGGTTTTTCTCTTGCATCATGTGAATGGCCGGGTCCATATGCGTCACTTACCTGGGAAACACTTGCTACCAGGATGCACTATGGGAAGAAGGCAAGCTTGTGGCGGCAGTGTGACGCTCTGGGCTATGTTCTGCTGTAAAACCTTGTGTCCTCCCATCCATGTGGGTCTTACACCACCTGCCTAAGCATGGTTGCAGATGATGGTATCCCCCCCCCTAATGGCTGTGACTTCTTTCAGCAGGATAATGCATCCTCGGTCATTTAACAGTGTTTCAGGAATGGTTTGGGGAGCACAACAATGAGTATGAGGTGTTGACATAGCCTCCAAATTTCTCAGATCTCATCTGTCTCATCCGGACACCCAAGTCTGATACATCGAGGCCCCACCTGGCAAGAGCGGAGTCCACGCCTCGACGGACAGGACGTTCTGGCAGCATGCGTAGTGTGTGCATGTCACTCTGTCTGTAAACACGATAGCTAAAAAAGTTTTAAATTAATTCTGACAACTCTGATACTTTTTAGGGGAGGTAGACTGGGGACATGTTAACAATACTTCCACCAAAGTCTTCAAGGTGAACTCAATGATTTATTGGTAGAAAACTGACAAAAAGCTGTAGAAACTATGATTCTTACAAGTGTGCTGTGTCAACGTATAGAAAGAATGGCATAAAGATTTAAAATGTCACATTTGACCTCTGACCTCACTTCTATATTACACATCAGCCTTTCTTTCAAGTTGACCACAAAATGTGATCTTATAAGTCAAGAGAAAGACAAGGAGCTGCTCCCGTGCGCTGAAACTAAAAACATGGACATGATCAAAATTATAATCATTAGATGTAAACTTTATTCTGCTTTATCGCTACATAGTGTAAAATGCCAAGTTTAAGTCTACTTCGTAATTAAAGGTTCTTAAAAAAATGAGGAAAAGTCTGTATTTACCTTGAAAAGTGTTTTTCTCACCAGTATATTAATCTATCATACTACAGTAGAAGGATCTGCCTTTCTGATCACTTCCTACTGCAGTTTTTCCACTGAATGACATTTATACTCACTAAAAGCAAAAACATGTTTCAGTAGTTTCCTTCCAAAAGGAGATTTACTGATGGAACAGTTTAACACCTACACTGCCTGTGATTTCTAGTTTAAGAAGTGACAACCCTGCTGGGAAATAACTGGGACGTCCTAAAGGAATAAAGGAAAAGTGTTCATGAAGGTAATGGTACTGATGCTTAAAAAATGGACTATAGCATCGTGGAATGTGACTTGGCAGCAGTTGAGCCACAATTTGGCCAATTAGAACGGTTCTATTAGTTTTTAGAAGCCAATAGGAGCAGAGTATAATGCCAGTACGGTGAAGATGAGATTGGGGGGGGGATAAGTAAGATGAACGAAAGTGAGATGAGAGATTGATGATAGGAGCCATCAGCCTGCACTCCCACACTTCATCAGCTGTTCATTTTACAGGAGACATCCATCGCCCACACACACACACACAGATACTGTACACACTCACTTTCTCCTGAATCCCAACTCCGGTTACCCACACACACACTTTACGTCGCCACAAACACAGTTAGCGTACCCGAGCTTTGTATGCAGAAGGAATAGCTGGAGCTCAATTTATGATGAAGCTGTGTAGGCCTGCAGATTCGACTCAAAACCATCCACAGGAGTTTTTAGAGGGACTTTTATTTAGCAGTTTCAGCAGCTTTGATCCACTGATGTTAAACATGAGCAACAGGAGTGTTTTCAGTCTGCTTTGGATGATCAAGCCCAACAGAATCTCACACGTTTCTATCTAACCGCTGTGAGCAGAGCGTTTGGGTTATAGTGTCTAGATCTCCAGATAACTTCTCTTTGATAGCAGCACAACAAACACAGATGCGCCGGGTGTGGGAAAGGATCATCCCTATGATTTCAGCCAAAATAAAACACATGGGAATGGACGCTTTTGTGACACAATCTGCGCTGAAGTCATACTCTTTCACGGTTTTTGATTTCATGCTCAGCAGACGTCCAGGAAGCCTTCAGAGCGCTAAATTGTAACAAGGTTCTCACGGCCTGGCTTTTATAAAATATCGACTTTTTAATGAGTCATCACAGAGCTGGTAATGCTATTCAAAATATCCAAATAACATCATTTAGGATTTGCGGAGTTCGGGAGTATTGAGTATTGTATTGAGAGAAAGACTTCATCTCTCTTTTTGACTGAGATATTTATGTTTCTGTGTAACAATATTGTTTTTTGCCTTTCTTCCCCCCAAACTTTACCAAGAAGAAGCTGCATCCATATATCTGGGCGGGGCGGGGCGATCGTGGCTCAAGAGTTAGGAGTTCGCCTTGTAATTGGAAGGTTGCCGGTTCGAGCCCCGGCTCGGACAGTCTCGGTCGTTGTGTCCTTGGGCAAGACACTTCACCCGTTGCCTACTGGTGGTGGTCAGAGGGCCCGGTGGCGCCAGTGTCCGGCAGCCTCGCCTCTGTCAGTGCGCCCCAGGGTGGCTGTGGCTACAATGTAGCTTGCCATCACCAGTGTGTGAATGTGTGCGTGAATGGGTGGATGACTGGATATGTAAAGCGCTTTGGGGTCCTTAGGGACTAATAAAGCGCTATATAAATACAGGCCATTTACCATTTACCATATCTGTCAGATATGTGCAGTTTACAACTCTTCTCTACAATTCTGTTCAATATCTTGTTGCATAATTACACACATTAGTGAAAGTGCAATCAGCCTTTCCTTCTGAATTCTCATTCACATCTTTTCTTCATTTTATGAGTTGAACGACTGTCATTCAGGAGAGACTGAGTGAAGCTGCTGCTCCTCAGCGTCGAAGCATCGAAAGGAGCCCGATGAGGTTGTTTAGCCATCTGACCACGATGCCTCCCAGATGCCTCTTAGTTGAGTCGTCTTGGACACGTAGGTCATTCCATGGAAAATCACTGCCTGCCCCCCACCTGTCCCCCCCTTTGAATAAACTAAAAGGGATGGAGACAGCACAAAAGACACACTACTTGAGAATATTAAAAAAATCAAAAAAGCTGGAAAAAATCAAGTGGAAAAAGTACCAAATTTCAACCCAGCCCTATGCAGGTTGACAGAGGTCTACAGGACAGAGGCTAAAATATTGTGTGACTTCTTCAAATGTGTCGATTATTCTAATTATTAGCAGAATGAAGAGCATATTCTGAGAGAGTCATGAATGAATCTTTTCAGATTTGACTGATTTTATATGGAATGAGCCATGTCCTGGCAGGAGCTGAACCTGGGGATATTAGATATCTTGGACTGGTTATTTATACACATGCACCTGATGGATCATATTACAGTAGAAAAGACTGTTATAACAATAAGCTATGTGCTGAAAGAGGTCACAGCCATTAGGGGATGTGCACCTTTGCATGGCAGTAACATCGTCCTGAGGACCCTCGTCTGCCAGAGTGACAACAAACTGATGACTAAGTCCTTGAAGAACATGGTGCTCATATATTTGCTAGTTCAAACAGCTTGCATTTAAGTCTTTATTTACTTTACTTTTTTGTTTTTGAAATTGTTTATGTTTGATCCATTTACTGGTGGTTTTAAAAAAAAAAAGATCGTTTCCACAATCTAGATTTTGTTGATGTGAGGCTTGAGAAAAAGCTTTTTATGATCAAAGTAGTTCTGGTGTAACCGATAACGCTGCAGTCGTTCGTTGCTTTTAATCTCACAGCCTTTTCACTTCAACATCTTGATAAAGCTGCTGTGAAACATCTGAACTTTAGTGCTGTTGAGCTGCAGATGTTCAGCCAGCAGAGGACTGCTGCTCTGCTGGGCAGGTGTGACTGTTACTGTCTGACTGTAAAGCACAAGTGCTACTGAAAAAGAATGCATGTGTGTGTTCTGCTGACTTCTCCTGTATAAATAAAGGTTTAGAAAAAATTGGCTTCAAGTACCATCTCAAACATTGTTCTGGAATTTGCTCGTGTTTACATTCTGCTTCGCTCTGCGTGTACGCTCCTTCTGCACCATTCCCTCGCCAGGTAATATGTCTGGACATGACCCGAAGCCCTCCCCTCTCTGGCAGCGTGCCCGCCCGTCATCCAAAGTATGCAGCACTGCTAGGGGTGACATCACGGCCAGAGTCTTCCTCACAGCCCTCGATCGCCCTGCGTCTGCTTATTGAATTAAGATGAGGGGGCGCCGAGAGATGAGTTTAGCACCTGAGCCTCAGGGCTGAGGGAAATTGATTTCACACTTTAAAGAGGCACAGAGGGGCCGTCTCGCTATCTCTGTGGGCCCCGAGCCTGTTTGTGGTTTGTGTGAGAACAGATTTAGTCTGTTTCTTTCCATGAGTGAAGGCGAGTTTGCATGTCTTTCAGAGCGCGTGCACGTGTGTGTGTCTGTGTGTGTGTGTGTTGGGAGAAAGGCTGATTACTTTTCATGGTTGTGCAACCAAAAAGAGGGAGCAGGTGACTCTACATACAGTACATGTTATGATTGAGAGCGAGTTTGTAAGTCTGTGGTTGTCTCATGGGAGTTGGTCTTTAAAGAAGGCGTATGTTACGTTCGCATGAGAGGCCCACTGTGTGTGTGTGTGTGTGTGTGTGTGTGTGTGTGTGTGTGTGTGTGTGTGTGTGTGTGTGTGTAACCTCACCCTGCTTACATGTACACATCCCATAAAACTTCCATGTCTGCTGTAATGCCTCAACTTGTTCCCAAAAGCAGGGCATAAGACCTCCAGGGGGCTTTAGACAAAGCAGGATTAGGTGCTTAGTGCAGTAACTTCAGATTTAAACCTGAGTTTTCAGTGTCAGGAAAGTGGTTCATGCCTTGTTTGAGTACCCTGCCACTGTAACTTTTACTACAGATCTAATAAGAGTATCTTATATTTGAGAGAAGATATCAACATGTTCAAAACCACTGACCCATCAATTCTCTGGAAAACAGAATCACCATTCCTAGAAGATCCTGTGCACAGTCAGAGGATCTACAGTTCTACAGACCATCTAAGGTTTTTGTGTGTTTCACATAAGCATCAATAGGAAATCTAATCTTCTGAAGAACAACTTCATAGTTTTCATTTTTTACTTCTTGTGAACAAAAACTATCACAGCCCAGCCGAGGGTGAGTTTGATCTGTTAGAGAGAGGCAGACATAAATCAGGAGCTGAAAGCCAAAACAAAAGCATCACTGAGATACGAAACTCAGTTACCTTGTACTATTAACAGCTGTGAAGCCAAAACTGAACTTAAAACTTGATAGACTGCACAGCTGTTAATGAGCTGCAGTTATTATTGTGTTGTATGCTACTGGAGAGAAATTAACCGCACATGTGCCATGTTCTCTGAATTCCCACCAGCCAAAAACTGTGCGATCCGACAGCAGTTTCTGAATGATTTTCAGTGATAACAGGTTCATATAAAGTACTGACAGAATGCAATAATAATTTATTCATAACATTTTGTGCATATATGTATTTAAATAAGATGTTTGTCACATCCATCCACTTGCATTTGTTTTATTCTCTAAATCTGCTGCACCTGCTTTTGTTTGCTGTGGTAAAACTCATTATTCTTTATTTTCAGTTATTTAAGAGAGACGATCATGTGATGTACAGCAGTTTAATTATTTCTCTGAGGGCGGAAATTATATTTTATGATAAAAGTTCATTTTTCTTAGTATATGCTGTCAATTATAGTTCTTTGGAATCTGCAAAAATCTGTAATGGCAGATCCCATTAGTCAGAAATAATAATGGAATAGGTATGTCACTGTGCTAAAGCATCACAAAACTGTTTTTATTACTATTGTTTTATTTTTCTAGGTTGGGTGGTTTCATGTGAATTGAGTGAAAATCTTAAAAAGCTTAAAACTTTCAAAAATACCACTGGGCTGAAATACAGCACACAGATGTACTGAGCTGTTTTACAATAATCACTACAGCACGGCTGGACATTTGTGTAACACCAATTTGTCCACCAATAGTGGAGAGATTCAGCCGCCCAAGTTAACAAAAACACTCTCGTATTTACAGCGGCAGCAAAGGCCAAGCTTTCTGAGGAAATGGATAAAACAACAGCACTCATTCAAAAACAGTGCCACATGGTGGTGAAAGTTACAGCTAACATCAGTCACTAACAGAAAGCAAAAAAACCCAAAACAAATAACACAACAAAAATAACAGAAAAAAAAACTTTCACGATTTAGTGAGATTAAAAAATTATGTTTTTGCTCATGAGAATATTCACTGCTCCTACCTCCCAGGAAGTCTCTCACTTCTAAATTTCTCAATGAATGATTAAATTGTAAAAAAGAAAGAAATTATGTCTGGGTGGAGTGTTTCGGCACACACACACACACACACACACACACACACACACACACACACACACACACACACACACACACACCTCTAAAATGTGTGTGTTTGGTGCTCTGCCACTGAAATCTCTCCCATTTTGCAGGCCAATCATGCCCTCAGGTGTGTGTGTGTGTGTGTGTGTGTGTGTGTGTGTGTGTGTGTGTGTGTGTGTGTGTGTGTGTGTGTGTGTGTGTGTGTGTGTGTGTGCGCGCGTGCGTGCGTGTGTTTCTCCAGCACTGGTGATTTATAATGATGTGTAGTCCTCTAAGATTTCAGCCTACAGAAGTGTGTAATGGGTCTTAAACTGGCTGACACCCGATCGCCACGGATCATCTGCCGCCTGTCAGGCATTCACCTCCACCTCAAGACACTCTCTCATGGCCTTTATCTTCATTCTCTCATAAGCTTTTCAAACGCAAACATTTTCTTTCTCACGCTTGCTCTGCTGTTGTAGCTTTACATTGCCCTCACACGAACACGCTTATGACACACACACCCAGAGCCACCGTAGTTGCTGAAACACAACTACATTTTATGTCATCTAAAGTTAAAGATCAGTTTTCAGTGTGGATGCTTCTTCAAATCTGAACGGCAAAGGAAAAAACATTTTTTGCTTCCTTGAAGTTTTGAGAAACAGGACAGCAAAATAACATTTTTGCACTTTGAAACATTCACTAACAGCCTCGGTGGCTGAAAAATATTCCTAAACTGCAAAAAACAGAAGATTCTCTGAATCTGGCTCCAAAAGTAATCCGTGCTCATAGACTCGCCGTGTTAAAATGACCAACAGAAATAAACATGTTTACAGCCCGTTTGTGCCTTTGGAGCACTAACACGGTGAAGAGGCTCATTCTGGAGTATTTGTAATGGAATTATCTGACAAATAATAAGGTCTGCCGTGCAGTGCAGCCCACCCAAGAAATCTGTTTTCAGTTGTAGCAAGTTACACTACAATTATGGAAAACTGCTAGTCTGTTACTCAGTGTACTAATTAGAGTTAGCGGTTAACATGGCAGTAGCCAAAAACCTAACACTGAAGCAGATTTCGAAACCAATGGTTGACATCCCAGTGACTGCTTGACACAGACAGCGGGTCTATGAAACACGTGATGCTTAACAGTCCTCGGCTGTATATTGTGTATGAAAGACTCAAAGTGTGTTTTTGTCAGTACATGTATGGTACTGCTGACATGGCAAGAAGTTGCCTGCCAAAAGAAGAGTGCTTTTTCACACTCACCAGTGTGGACTGTTTAGACTTGGCAGTGTGAGTAACGCATGTTTCACGCATTCTGAAAGCTGGAATTGCCAGCTTTCAAATTTCTAACTTCCAACTGGATCAAATGCACCATTCGATCCAGTGTGATCAGTGTGATGGTGTGAACAGTGGTCCACTGGGACTACAGGTGCGGGTGGAGGTGGGTTTGTTAGGTGTGCGTGCTTTGGTCCCAGAAAAGTCATGGGAAAAAACCCCAAAACAAAACAAAAAAACCCACTTTAACACGTTCTGGTACACAATGGTGACAGTAAAAGTAGAAGATGGACACGTTTGAGATGCCAGCAAAGTGGAAGTGTTTTAGAGATGCAGTTCAATCAGCTTCTTGAAATCAAGCATATGAAAATCTGTTCACACCACCTCCTCTTTTAAGGATACCAACCAGCTGTGCTGTTCAAGTGATGCACTTAAGTTCCAGAGTATTTACTCTGGTTTATTAAATTGAGTAAATTAGAGCATTTAGGCTTGTTTGACCAGATTACAAATCAACATTTTTCAGCATGTAATTTGGAAGTGATTAAACAAACCTCTAAATGGTCTGAACTGGATGTTTATGTGTCTTTGACAGGTACGTTTTCCACTCACTGCTTACTGGGATCCAACAGATCCAAATGGTAAAGGTCAGTGTTTACCTGACTCGTGGTCCCGTATGCAGTAGTCTGGTGAGTCCTCCAAGTAGACGAGGTCATTCTTGCTGGGACGTTTGAAGTGTGTGTGAGCGGCCGTAAAGCCTGTGCCATACTGATTCACTGCAACCTGCACGGCACCGTTGTACCTTTTCCGTAGATGGTCACCTGTGCGGCGGAAGTCAGCCATGGCCAACCAGCAGGTCCTGATGCTGCATGACCCACTGACACCATGACATTTACACTCCAGTGTCATGAAGCGCTTCACAGCCTGGGGAGCACAACAGTAAACAGATTTAGTAGAACTGGTGAGTGAATGGTACTAATTTAAGATTTTAAAGCCCAAGATACAAATGTAATGATGTTATGTAGATCTAAAAACAGTCAAATTCATTTTCAGCGTTTTATCAATGTGTTTCTATTTCTGAGATTCTTAAAATGTTGGATGAAAATGTAAAAGTTATGTAATTTTAGTGTCTCCGGCAAAACTGAAGGACTTTAAAGTCAGTTATCCATTCAGTGCTTCCTCACCTTCCTGCCAGCTCTGTTGTTGTGCAGGTTCATGAGTGCACGGGCATCCCTCTCCTTCCTCTCCTTGGCATCCACGAAGGCTTGGCTGAAGCGTATGGCATGCTCCACATGGTCACTACAGCCTCCCCAGTTGAAGGAGCCTTTGGCATCCTGTGATGAGCCCTTCTTGGTGGGATCACAGGAGCAAGAATCCAACTCACCTTGGCTGCAGGCTTGGGCCAGTGTGTAAACCACTCCAGCTGAGGAGATAGCGTAGACAAAGGCCACCTCACGGCTACCTTCACAGAGAGAATTATTTTTTTATTATGCAAAAAAAAAAAAGTTTAATTACTCAGTTTTTACCCAAATACCGGTAAACAGGAGCCAAAAACCTTGTTGATTTCAGCTATTTGTGGGAGTCTCTCATTTGTCAGTTAACACTAGTGCTGGTAAACTAGCTAGTTTAGCAAGGTACAGCTGTAATTCACTGTAATAGCAAATAAGACGCCAATATTGGCTAGTGGAAAAACAGGCTTACTGTAAAATAAAATTTACTGATTGGTGAAAATGAAATTGTCCTTAGTTTCCTTTAATATAATCAAATGCTCAGCACAAACAAGTAAACACCTGTCAAAGATGAGTAATACTAGAAATGCCCTTTATTCTCAATACAATTTGAAGAGTTGAGTTTATTTTAAAAATTTCTCTGCATATCTTTAATTAAATTTCCTTTTTTTGCACTGGGCTGTAAATATTTTTACTCTTTAAATCTCAGAATTTTCATATTACAGTCTGTGGGGAATCCTCAGACTGCATTTTTGACACTTCTGCATCAGCTTTATTTTTTTATTTTTTAGCCCCTAAAACGATTGACATTTACACATCTGCCACAAATGCATTCAGTAACATCATTTATAATTGAGAATTGTTATTTTTCCCCATTGTTGAGAGTGGATCAGTCAGCCGCCTACTGCATATACGGTACGATATATACGATACATGATCAATCCACATGCACCAAAATTTCTATGTATTTTCCCAGAAACTGCAGATGGTAGGCTAGCAATTAATCCAGACAGGGTCAAAAGACCAGCATTAAAAAAAAGTTGCAGATATGCTTCTCTCCATTCCTAATAAACCTCACTGATGCCACAGTTACAGTAACAAATCTAAAAACCCTTTAAATGTTTGGCTGCCACTGCTACCTGTTACACCCGTGTCTGTTGCTGTCTGCTATAGGCTTTTATTCAAAGCATGAAAAAAATACGTCATCTCCAAGATGGATAAACAGCTAACATTTACCAGCAGTGCCCTGATAAGGAGCTCTTATCTCCTTCTGCATGTATCTGATGAAAGATCCGAGCAGGATCAAAGGCTCAGGTGGGGAAAGGGTGTGTGTTGCATCTAACCCCTGCCAAGGACTTGTAACACACATGGTAAATGGCCTGTATTTGTATAGCGCTTTACTTAGTCCCTAAGGACCCCAAAGTGCTTTACACTACATTCAGTCATTCACACACACATTCACACACTGGTGATGGCAGCTACATTGTAGCCACAGCCACCCTGGGGCGCACTGACAGAGGCGAGGCTGCCGGACACTGGCGCCACCGGGCCCTCTGACCACTACCAGTAGACAATGGGTGAAGTGTCTTGCCCAAGGACACAACGACGAGACTGTCCGAGCCGGGGCTCGAACCGGCAACCTTCCAATTAAAAGACGAACTGCCAACTGTTAAGCCACGATCGCCCCACATGAATGCTCTCACAGTGATTCTCACAAAAGAAGGACTTGTGACGTGTTTAGAACTGCAACTACTGATCACATCCATAAGCTTAAGTTTCCTAAATGTTAAGAGGTCAACCCTGATGCTTTTACCTCAAAGTCAAAAGAAACACTTTTCACCTGCTGAATTAAATGCAGGATGATCTCAGCATCACAGCTGAGAGGAACACCTGCAGACAGAAATCAGGGCCAAACTAAATATATGAAAGCCTATTTTTACAAGAACAAGCCACTTAAAATGTATAATCATTTAGAGCCATCAGTGTGCACTTCAAATAAATATTTAAAAACAGCCTTCAAGCTCCATCTAAGATAGTACATTTCTGCTACGTAAGAGAAATAAATATAGGAAACAGCATTCAGGTACACAGCTGTTAAAATAAAGACAATTTATTTCCCCCCCTATTAAAAAATGTAATGTAAAGAAGCAAACTTGATGTTTTCATCTGATAAATTACATTTTTAAAAAAGCATTCTTGACATTGTTTCAAGCTCCTTTTCTGCCTGTGTGGGTTAACAACACAATGTTAGATATGTTATCATATTTTATATTATATCATTGATGGCAATGAATTAATTCATTCACTTATGAAAATTCTAATTAATTTAACCTATAAGGGATTCCTCTAAATACGTTAAATGTGTTAAAACAAAGTCAGTAAGACTAATGAAACTCAAGTATCACAGTAGCACTAGAAAAAAAGAAGAAGCTCCCAGCTCTGCCAAGCACACACAGTGATATCAGTATGTGGGTGTCTGGGTCCAGCAGATAAGTTGAGCGTGCCTAACAAAGTTAATAAGGAGGACGCTGAGAGAACACGACAACAGGGAGGGAGAGCTCCTGTGTAATTGTTTGAAATTAGCCTACTGACACTGACAAGAAGGCGCTTCAGACGGGGCCTCAGTGTGCCATGATAATGCTGTGTGACATGGCCGGCGCCTGGCTGGGAGGTCCAAATACCACATGGCTGATTAGAGGCCCAGACATAAAACTAAGTCGTAGGATCCGCATCACAGGTTAAATCTCGGGGCATGGGAGAGGAACATCAGGTCGCCAGGTCCTGATGATCCTCCACAGGCAATATATTTAAAAAAAAACAAGAAAGAAGATGTTTCAGCTTGCCCTCGTTGGAGGTACAGACTGATTTTAGCTGCTGAGATTTGCCATCACATGACAAATTGGACGGGACGCTTTTGTTCAGACTCCAATCTGTAACAAACAGTGACAGGCAGCTTACTGATACTCACCGCTTGGTTTCCGACGCTGTTCACACTTTATTGCTTTGGAAGAGTCATTTGTAATACTCCCCACACCCACCACTCTCACCAGAAATACATGAAGAGGAAAAACTGCCTGTGTCCTCTCTGGATTTCTGAAACTCTCAATAAATCAAGTGTCTTCTCCAGCAAATCACCAGAGAGGATAAACAGTGCTAATAAACTGAAGTAGCTCTTGAAAGTGGTGGGATTACTTCTATTTCAAAAAAGTCTAAAATTTCTGCAGTTTGTCATTTGAACGAGCTGAGCGGAGAGTAATTAGCTCTGCTCAGACAGCAGCCCAAGGGAATCGAAGGGACACCAAAACACTGTGATGACACCAAATCAGTCATGAAGTCACTGACTCTACAGACACTGAAATCTGCATAACACTGTAACAAGTTAATTAGTTATTACTGATTAATCTTGTATACTAAATAAATAAATAAAAAAACCACACACCTAACAATTAAAATTCCAATCAAATGAGATAAAAGCTGGAGTTTCTCTCTCATCAGTTACTGGGTGACATTTTTGTTGAATAAATTATTTGAATTATTATATCAGAATTATTACAGATACATTTCTCCAGCCATGGCAAATTGTTTTAGTAGGACATTTGTCCACCGGCCTTAAACAAAATACTGAGTAACACGATAGCAACCCAACACAAGAAAATGAGGAAGAGACCAGTTGGCTGCAGTGACGTGAGAAATGCACGATTGTAAAGTGAGACGAGGTGTGGAATGCAATCCACCTCTGTCGACAAAAAGGAGCATGTCTGCAGAGCAACTATCAGTTTTCCAGAAATCTTCTGAGTGGCAGTAAATCTGCCCGACACTCTAAAAACTTTTGTTTGTGCAGATTTGTCACTTTAATTTAAAGACATGTGTCAAACATGTTTTCGATGTAACACACGATCATGCAGCGATTCATCTTCAGGGAGTGCCAGCAGACCTGGTAATGTAAGCCTGCATGTGCTATAGCAGGCACTCTGCTTCAGTGTTCTTACCTATGCAGCGATTACGGGAAAGACAGCCCGTCAGACTGATACTTTATAAAAACTCTCTGTACCCTCTTCACTGTATCTTATAATGATTAATATAAGGATGAGCATATATATATATATATATATATATATATATATATATATATATATATATATATATATACATATAGTAAGAAGATAATCATATTTTTAAAAAGAAGAAATAATTATTCAAAAAAATCACATCTGTGACCAACATTATGCTTTTATCCACATTGGATAAACTATTTAGTTCACAGCTTTATTTAACTTTCACCTGATGGATTCAGTAGCACAAAGAGAAATAGACAAGACTTTTTTTTAAAGTGGGTCCAAACAGACTAAACTGTGAGTTTATTTTTAATTTCTCAGCCGTCTAATCAACATGTAACCTTCATTTTCATGGCAGAACCCCTGGACCTTCTTTGAACTTTATATCGAAACTTTTTTTTTTAAATGTAAATGTTACTTTTTTCATGTTAAGGTAGAATGAAGGTCCTACTGTATTTTGGCTTTAACACTCCTGAAACTCACTGCGTAGCAGCAGACGTCCAAAGAGATTGTGGTCCCTGGCTGTGGTGTTGCAGTTCCAGCGGTGGTTGCGGAACTGGTACTGGCACTCTGAGATCCAGTCCTTCATCCCAGCCCCGATGGCCTGCATCACTTTGGGGTACTGGCGGCACAGCTGGCGCTGCTTATTCACCAGTCCAGGGATGTTGTCGCACATCACCTGGGAGCCCAGGGTGCCCATGTACCTGTAGAGTGGGAGGGTAAATGTCAAGACAGATGAGTACTTGCCGGGATGTTTCTGGATCACTTTAGTAAAGGATAAAATCGAATAATTTTGTATGTAACCCAACGTGTGTAAAGGCAGCTGTGGATATATTAAAGCTTTGTAAGGTAATTGAAGACCTTTACTTTATATTAATGCATAAAATAAGAATGCTAGAGGGTGTATTCTTCAGAGGTATCTGTTGGAATCACTCCTAACAAGTCCACACTCCCTTTTACCTGCAGAACAAGATGATGAAAGACTGATGGGCTGCACTGAAGATTAAAGACACAAAGCAGCGGCAACAAAAAAGGAATTATCTCTCCAAATACCATCTCAGTATCACAGGGTACGAAGTAAGGAATTTGGAAACAGGAGCTTTGCAAATATTAATTAGAGATTCAAGAGAAGGATAGCAAATAAAGAGAAATTAAATTATATCAAATGACTTCAGCCTGGAAACTAATCTGTCCAAATATTCAACAAGCTGCAAAAATAATTATGCAAGCCATGGGGGGAATTTAGTCACTCACTGTGGGAACATTTTTGTTAAGATAAAAGGGTGCATATGGAACTGTTTTTTTAAACCAATAATTTACCGATGACAGAATAAGACAACACATTTGAAAGATTATTATAATAGCACATAACCCACGTGCACAAAGTCTTACACTAGCGTTCATTTAAACAAATATGTAAATGTTAAATAATAATAATACTTACCACCAGGACGCATCGATCTCAGCTGTGAGCCAGCAGATTGCTACAGATAAATAAAAACATATTCCGCTTGGCAATAAGTGCATATTAACCAAACTCTGTTTCTTTATGGGTCTGGACGGAGCATTTCCACAGATGACAGGAAAAAATTAATAAAACAGAAGCTGAAAGTTGAATCGCCGAGTTAAACTCGCTTTAAAAATGTATTACAAGACAGTCGGAGGACAGACGGTTTGCTCGTAAAAGTCATGGCTGGCTGGGATTCTGCACAGTGGCAAAGCGCTTCTGAAGAAAAGGTTAAGAGCGACTGTCTTAATAGTCCAGAGCAGATTCTCAGGGGAGATACGCGGATGCTGTGCTATCAGGTTCAGATTGCTTTACACAAGGAGTGGGCAGAGTCCCGTCTCAGGAATGAGGTGAAGAAACGAGATGTCTGAGAGTATCTGTTCAGGCTGGTTTGACATCAGACGGGTTTGGCCCGTGTCCAGACCGGAGCTCCGCACCTCTGAGATGTGGTCCAAGTTGATGGGCTCTTCATTCAAATCGCACCGATGAGACGCGCGCAGAGAAGGAGCTAGCTGTGGGAGGATTCACACTCCACGCTTAACCAATGTCAGACACCACAGGAAAAATGCCCAAACCCGCTTAGATTCAAAATCGGGGGACAGGATGATGAATGGAGTTGATGTGCCAGTCCAAAAAAAACAGGCTACAAAAAAACCCAAAAAAAACCCTTTTACGCACAAAAGATAAACATTATGATTTTTAAATGTTTTTCTCACAGGACTCCGTAGAGCTCAACAGAGAAAAACTCTGGCATATGGTGTAGCGGTGTAATTGATAAGCATAAAGACCCTTTAAGAAAATAAATCAAACTAGTGTTTTGTTTATGTTGAGCGCCCATTGCCATAGCCATATCCCACACAGGTGAATAATATCTCAGATTCCTCACGCATGACGCACTGCTATTTTTACAGCCTCATACAAACTATCACTCTAATAACTCAGGAATGATGGCTTAAAAAAGGAGGAAAAAACTGGGCACCGATTCTCCCAGAGCAGCACCTAAAGGTGATGTGTCCATTTCAATTGGATTATCCATGTCAGTCTTTTTGATGTGTCCCGGTGAAGTCTGTACCACTGTCACACAGCGTTTCCTCCATCTTTGATCTAGCCCGGGGTGTATCTGGAGGTCTGGAGACTTTGACCAGATGAGATTAATGGGCAAATTGGATTGTTCCCATGATCCCCGTGGAAGAAACCCATAAAACAACAAGAAGATTTAGAGCGTTCTCACTGCTCTCATCAGGACTTTGAACACAACTTTATTTTTGCAGCAGCGGTAGTTGTAATAAGCCTGTGATATAAATCCAATTTTATGGGAGTAATTTGTTCACTTCCTTACCAAATCGCATTAAGGTCACAGTTTCATTGCATGTTTTACGGACAGAAAGGTATTTTTGATAATACTTGCGCACAATAAAGTTTGTGAACACTGAAAAGGAAATGGCACAAAATCAGACAATAAGGACTTTGAAGAGTTTGTGATTTTTAAACGTATCAGCTGGACATTTGAAAATATTCAACCAGCAAAAGCTAAATCTGGTCATTAACATCACAGGAATCCACTTGAATCATTTTTGAAATACAGATTGGATTTCTTTCTGCGATTTAGGGAGAAAACTGATATCACTTTCACACCTATGGTTTGTTTGTCAGACTCAGTTTAGCTACCAGCAAGAAGAAAAAGCACTCTGCCCCCTTCTATTGTTAGAAAATTCACCTATGGCTCATATAAATGTGATGATTTCCTCTTACAAAATAACCTAGTGCAACAAAAAAAAAAACCTCTGATAAACTACTCGGAGAAACTTGGCATTGCATCCTTCTGTATATTTGGGAGAGCAGGCTTCACATTTCCACATGCCTCTAGGTTTTCTTATAGACTGTATATTACAAAGGATCAAGCAGTCGGTCTAAGGACAGCGACTTTGCAAAGCCTTACACCTGTAGTCTTTAAGATGATCAGCAGGGTGCAAAAAGAAGCCCTGTGAAAAAAATGAGCCCACTACCCCAAAAACTTGTAACTTCAACAAACACTTTCCTGATGAATTTATGGTCTCAGTCTGTCACTTTAAGTTTATTGTCACTTTTAGTTGAAAATGGAAAACAAATAGACATGCATGTCACCACAAGTTGAAAGTGCAGTGTCCTTGGTTTCCCAATCAGATACACCACTTGCTTGTCTTTAGTTTCAAAACACTGATGGTGATGGCCAAGACTCTATACTCAACATCTGGCAGGCACCAATATAGAAAGCATCCCGATTTCAACCTTAAATCGAGCATACAAGAAACGTACTCTCAAAAGAAAAACTTTAATTGTTCAAACCATTAAAATATAAAATAACTTAAAAAGAATAAGAATTAAACTCAGTGACAAGTCAAAACAAACTGGGAAAAAAAACCCACTGTAGCAAAATTAAAACTGAATGCCTGTCAAACACCCGTAACACATATAAACACAATACTTATCCAACTTTTTAGCTACAGTCAACAAACACAAAAGACCTCACAAATCTGTGAGGCGATCAAAAAGTATCCCTGCACTGTAGGGAAACCTTGCCACTGGAAGCTTTGTAGAGCAGTACGAGGAAGGTGACTCCGAGAGTGCTCAGAGCAAATCTGGTGGTCAGAGACCACATCCTCCTGTTGTTATGGAAACCAGGCTGAGGAGGCTGACAGGAATCTTTGAATTCTTCCATCTAAAGAGAGGACAACAAAGTCAGATTAACATGGGACACACACACAAATACGAATGTAAACATAAAAACACACATCAGACCCTGAGGTAAGGCCAATCTGAACTAATGCAGGAAGTACAAGGGTCACAGGTCAGTTTAATCTAATCCAGTCCGGATTATAGCAGTTGCACTAGTCAGACCAGTGGAAGGCTTGAATGGGTGGGAAACAGCTGCTCAGTCACTGTTGGGTGGGAATCAAATTGAGACCAGCTCGATGTGTGAGTGAGAGCATGTCTGGTCCCATCTCACCACCACAGCATGACTCAGACCTGAGTCACCAAAACTTCCTGTGCCAAATCCTCAGGGATTCATCAGTTAAAGTCAAGTCACAGAGGAATTATGCTGCCTCTGATTTTTCAAGCTACAGGGTGACACTGTCACACTAAATCCCAGTCATGTGAGAAGGTTGGAGGATACAAAGGGCTTAAATTCTGTTTAATACCAGAAATTATGACTTAGGAACCTGTGGTTTGACCAAGAAGGAAGTGCTTCTGGTAAGTGACGGAGGATGGTATTCTAACAGGAGGTATATGCCGTTTTTTCCACTCATTTACATCATAATTACTTTTCTTTAAACAGAGGAGCACAGTCTGTTTGTGGTAATGTTACAACACTAAAGTTTATGTTATGGTAATTTTAATTTTTGTACTTTTTAAAAAATACAGTTTGATAAATGATTTTAAACTATCACGATTAACACGATTTTCAGAAAAAATGACCTCTGAATGCTGTCCAAGTTCTGCTAGAGGTGGGAATTAAAGATCTCATGGACCAGGGCCTTTACCAGACACGCCCAATGCACACTCACTGTCCAACATCCTCTTCTGCCACCTGACCTCCTCTCTTCTCCTGAGTTTCCAGAACGTACAGCTACAGATCTGATGATAAATTTTCAAAACTGACCGTCGACCTGCGGTCGAGTGTCCTGTTGCTATGTGCACTTTTGAATATATTTATGTTTTAAATGGTGTTTGCACACAAGTCCAATAACAAAAACCGCTTGGGTTCAGATCAGGCACTGTTCTCCCAAGTCACGTTCCTCCAAGTCACACTTGGATGAGTCCAGCCCCTTTCCAGGAGACTGGTTACAGATCCCAACTGTGCACTAAGCTTAGCCCATCTGTAGCCAGTATTTCTCAATCTCACAAACTAGCTCAGGCTTTTATGTCCCCTCTCTGATGGCAAGGCCCCTACAGTACTTCTGTAACCCCTATGGTACCAACCCCTAGGCTTCTTCCTGTGAGTGGTGTGCTCACATTCGCCAGCCCATGTCTCCTCTTTGGCTGCATCCACCAGGGCCCACGGGCTAAGGCTCAGCCAACAGGGTGAGTGGCCCAAGGAATCTTATGCAGTGTCTTTGTGATCATGTATTTTACATGTGGCATAAAGTCTAGTGTAGTATGTTCTGGTGTAACATTTGATACATATAAAAACAAACAAACAAAAAACAAATTTCAAATTACTTTTGTTGTATTTCAAAAAGCCCAACTCATCAGTTTCTCTGCTATGATCAAACTTTCCATCACTATGAGATTTGGCACACAGAAATATTTTTTTAAAATGTAGCTTCATACCTCTTTTCAGTTCAGTAGTTTCCTAAAGGTTCCACGCACATGTTTCCATATCTCTGTTGCTATGTGTTTTAAACAGCAAGATACACAGGCCTCTCTTTTCTCACCATAAAAGCATACACCTCCCTCCACCTTCAGCATCAACGTTATATTTCTGCTACCAAATACAGTGTAGCTGTGCCTGTCTAGTTTAGCATGTACACTGAATCATGTCGCCCTGAAGACCACAACTAAATTACAGGGTCCCAAATATAATAAGACTCTAAACTGATATGCAGGCAATGTGCAAATGGCTGGAGTTTGACATGAGTGTACTTAACTTCACAGGCCTCAAGGTCTGAATTGCAACACAATGCTTCTAGGTGAAAAATAAATTGTCGAGAAATGAAGCCTTCCTCCTGCCACTGTAAAACTTGCTAAAGCTTTTAAGTGGGGTATACTGGCACCTTTTAGTAAGCCAGTTCTGCACCTACTACTATCCCACCTCCTTTTCTTACAACATGCCCACACCTCTACAGTGTGCTCTTTTCTCCCTTTTTAAACTCCCTCACCCCGCCAACCCGAATCCTTTCCTTGCTTCCCTCTGCCCCCACCCTTGCCTTCCCTCCACCTCATCGTCTGCATGCTGACAGGTCGATGTCACAGCAGCTCTGACTTATGGGCTGTGAGGATTCTGCTCCGTCAGGAACAACTCTCTCCTCTTGGAATACAAATGCAAACACGCACACACACGCACACACATGCACATAGAGTCAGGTGCACATATGTAAACACTCCTGCACATACCTGTTCGAGCTCGCCAGAATACATATAACACAACATGTAACTATGGCTTTTCCAAACTGCTTTTAATCCTCAGTAGTGCAAAGAGTAACAGTGAGCACTGTATGAAAGCAATTTAAATTGACTTGGATGTGCTTTCAATTTAATCACATATATATCAGTATTAGTGTCAGGTCTGACAGATTTTACTCTTATTCATACTTTTATCTTGTTACCAGTGCATTGACACATTTTGTATTTACTGTTACAATCAACAACAAATGTCATTTTATTGTACTTACATAGCACCAAACCACAACAACAGCCACTTTGTATTGTAATATATTGTAGTACTCCACAATAATACAACCATATAATACAACAATTTATTTCTCCAATGTTGTTATAGCTGTGTGGAGGCCAAAATTACCACTGCCTCAAAAACAAATATACTGTGTATAGATTTTTTAATTTTTATCATTTCAGTGATTTATAAGATAAATAATGTCAAAATGTACATGCATGTGTGTGCGTGTGTGTGCGTCAACCTGGCAAAGCAGATTGCGGAGGCAGGTGACTTCCTTTTGGAGATCTTTTGTCTGGACCACTAGCTGGTTGCAGATGGTCTGAGCCTCCTTCTTTGGGTCCAGGGAGAAAACCAACTTCTCAGAGGCAGAGAGAGATGGTGATGATTTTTATGTCACAAATGTAGTGGGATGAAAGACGAGATAAAAGGAAGTCATGTGCAAAAAATAGTGAATTGAAAACTTTTAGCTGGCAAACACATTTTCCATTAGATCTGTTATACATTTTATTTATGAAATTTTTAATAGACACAGAATTTGGCCAGTCATAGTTGTTTATCTCGTGGTTGGTAAAATCCTAATAACTGGACAGGTAAAGAGGGTATGAGCTGCACCTGAGCGGGTTGGCGAGGGAATCGATTTAAGACGTCTTGAATGGTCTCTGTCAGGTAGCAGCACTGCTGACTGATACTTATGAGGAAGTTTTGCAGCTCCTCACTCCTGCAAACATGTGGAACTTATGAGAAAGGCCTGATAAAATGATCACAAAATTTTTAATTAAAAAAAAACAATCTTTTCATACATAGGGTACATATCTTTCATGTTATTCTGTTTAACCACCTAAGACCCAAACTCTTTCATGGCATGCATTTTTAATTTCTCTTTGCTATTTGGGCTGATCCCCACTTGTGGGTATAGGTTAATTAGATAATCCAAATTGCCACTAGGTGTGAATGTGCGAGTGAATGTGAGTGTGAATGGTTGTCTGTCCCTGTGTGATGGCCCTGCGACAGACTGGCGACCTGTCCAGGGTGTACCCCGCCCCTCGCCCTATGACAGCTGGGATAGGCTCCAGCGCCCCCCGCGACCCTGAAAAGGATAAGCGGAAGCGAATGGATGGATGGATATTTGGGCCGATTGGGACCTGATGAACGTAAAGCCAAAGAATTACCTAATTTTTTTTAACCTGATTTTTGTTTCTGAGATTAATTATCTGTTTACCATCATTTTAAAAGTCAATTCTTTATATCATCAAAGTCAATTATTTTTAAGGTTATATTAAGATGCTAACGAATGAATAATAAATTCACATATGAGGACATTTGTTTTAAATTTCGACAGAACAGTGGCAGTATAATGTCCTCATAAGTGGATATCAGGCCTTGAGAGAAAAATTTCGTATTTTGGTCTAGACAACCCAAAATGTCCATCTATGTGGACACCATGTCCTAGGAGGTTAATGCATTTGAAGTGTATGGCAAATATTATTAGTCATAAAATATTATACCACTTATCAAGACATTTATCAAAAAAGTTGGTCTTAGATTTGACTGTAAACAAACCTTCCTTTAAAAAAACAAAACAAACAAACAACAACAAAAAAAACAAGGTCCTATACAAACCAGCTGGTTGGTTAATAACCTGAAAACCAATCCTACTTAATCTTTAGATAGATGAATAACTCTATCTGACATTTAAAAATAAGGTCAAGTGGTTTACTTGTCTAAAAACTAAAGCTGAAAGGAAGGTCCACATGAAAAAAGCAAGGCAGAATTAGCTGAAGATGCTCAGCTATGATAGTGCAGACTAATGGGTAGTTTGGATGAAGCTTTGCATTAACGAGCTCCAGGCATTTTCTTGGCGATAACCTTAACATGCTACAGCAAACCGAGCAGGTGGCCAAGCCTTGTTCGCACCTCCTCCTCGCACTAACCCAATGCTGTCATCCCTCTCTGAAAACATGCACCTTAAATGACTAGTTATTTAGATTAATCAAACGCCGTCCCTCTCTATTCCCATCCTCTGGACCTGTGGAATATTGATAGCTCTTATCTTAATGGTACATTTCCCTCGTTGAGGGGACTGGGCAGCCAGCCACTCCGGCCCTCCTCACACTCTGTCACAGGGGCGAGTAAACACTGTCAGTCAGCCTGTGCTGCACCCTCTCCTCCCTTCTTCCTCCTGTTAGTTTATCTAGGGGGAAGAGAGTGATGATGGGCCTGGGTGGGCAGGTCGTTGAAGGCATAACAGACATTATGTTTGAGTGCTGACAGAGGATGCATGAGAGCCACTGAAAATTATTTATCTGGGGATTTTTGGGAGAGCTGAGAAACCATTAAGCTTCCCTGTCTTTTTCAAACCAAACCCAGCAAATGCCTTGCTCAGTGGTAGCTGCTGGGAGTGGAGTGATACGTTGTTTGGCCAGTGAAACCATTTTTAGAATTTCATACACCACTACAATATCATAACCAAAGCGCAGACTCAGCTTTGATTCAAGCAGTTGAACAAAAACACAGCCTTACCACTGAGACATGGACCAAATTGCTTTCTCTCACACTAAAAACATATTCAGACACATTTAGACCTGCAATTATTATTTTTATATAGTTTTATGTTTATTGTTTAACTTCCAGTAGAACAGCAATGCAATCCTTCCTTACAAGGCTTTTACTTTGCCATAGGTAATGTTTACCATCATTTTAAAAGTCAATTCTTATATATCATCAAAGTCAATTATTTTTAAAGTTATATTAAGATGAATAATGAAACATAAGCTAGGTTTACAACTTCCGGACAGTACAATAATCCTGAAAAACACATCTGGTGCTTTACTTTACTTGCTTACATTTGAACAGTCTGGGTTTTACAATGTTTTGTTTGGAGGTGGAGGTGGCTTATGTAGTGCAAGCCACCTGGCCCAGCAGGTCTTCAATCACCCATTGTCATGCCAAAACATTGGGGTACTTTTAAATATATTTGTCTCCGAAATAAACTACAACCCATAAAACATATTATTAAACTTTTCAAGGATTATGATTTGATTTTTGGAACTGAAACATGTCCCCACAGGTCAATAAATAATGAAAGAAAATGTTAATCATAGTTGAGCATTATTAAGCAAAGGACACCAATCTGTGACAAATTCAAAAACTGCAAACGAAAACGATTGTATGACTGAGCTTCTTATCCCTTGACTTGCAAACAAAACCCAAAGATACTTTAAGTCTACCACTTGGAGTAGCAACTCCTTCCAAACCTTTTGTAGGCACTCAACCCTTTTATGGCTTAACAGCTACACCACATATTCAGGATAAAAGACATAAAGACCTCTTTCCCCCCATTTCAGACTTGTTACAACTACTTAGCTAGATTCTGCTAAAAACAGAATCTGTACATGTGAACAAAAACTCTCGAGACCCACAAATGTGATAAATGCATCCACTTGGCAATAAAACATCTGTAAGATTGTAACCTATGGTGTATAGGAACAAATACTGACGTAAACTAATAGTCCTTTCCAAGCATTTTACCACTGCTGCCAACTATGTATCCAACTTTTTTTCAGTGTTTAGATCCTGAAGGAGCTTTTACAGAGTTCTAGCCCTGATAAAGATTTTCATCCCAGTTATTAACCGACTGCCTGGGGTGTCTCTCATCCTGCAGGTGAGAAAGGCAAAGAAAACGAGTCCTGTTCAGCAGAGGATTCATTAAGTGATGGGGTGCGGTTTGATGACTGTCTGGCCTCTGACGCTCTGTTCATTGCAACCACCCATCACCTTCACCTTACAAATCATTACAGCTCCGCTTAAACCATTAAGTCCCAGCTTGGGCACGGCTATGGAGATAAGGGGGAGGGAGATAGAGCCAGGACAGTGAGATGCTTATAGGGTTGATGGACGACTTCCAGTGGAGGAGGACAAATGGAGCATCACAAAAAGATGGAAGTGGGCTGAATGTGGGGGAGGGTTTAAGGTGTGGGGCTGACAAGTGTTTAAAATTTTGCTACTACTGTCAACTTTGTTTCTGTCTTCATGCAGAGTGTTTGTGAATGTTTTTTTTACTTGCTCCTCATCAAATATTCTTGGCAGACTGAGGTTTTCAAATTCTTTCAGGATTGACAAGTTTTCTGACACCAAATTCTACAATGATTTTTATGCACTGAAGAAAGCCCTGATTCTATTAATTTTCATTCTAATTTGAAGACCTCCTTCCTGAAAAATATTCACAAGAAAACCTCTAACAAATTGAGTTCAGTTCCATTTAAATCAATTTCATTTATATAGTATCTATTCCCAGCACCAGTCACATAAAGATACTTTTATTTAATGTAAACACCTTAAAATATTTGAAACAAAACTCTGTGAGCAAGCACTTGATGACAGTGGGAAGGAAAAACTCCCTTTTAACAGGAACCTTGGACAGAACCTGGTTCAACGAGGGGCAGCAACTGCAACTGGTTGTGGGGGGAGGGGAGAACAAAGAGAGACAGGACAAAAGGTCTCTCTTTGCCATAAAAGGAGGCAAAAACAGAGGAGTGATGTATAAACACACAGAAAATAGTGAAGAAGTGAAAAAGAAAAGCTCAATGCATCACAGAATAAAACCGCCGGCACCGTCAGCCTACTGCATTGTAGCTAAGGAATGGTTCAGGGTCACCAGATCAAGCCCTAACTACAAGCTTTGAGAAATAGAAAACTATTAGGCATCATTTTAACAGTACAGAGTGTGTCTGTCTCTCAAATCCAAACTGGAAGCTGGTTCCACAGGGGCCAGAAAACTGAAGGCTCTCATTTTTAGTTCACACTTTGACGACTCAGTCAAAACATTTGCTGGTTCTGGTGTTAAATACACTGTTGAGAACAATACAGTAATAAAATACTAACTATTTTTGTTTTTAAAGAGCAAAAAGTAAATAAATTTATAAATAAAATAAAAAACAAAAAACAACATGTTGGCACCAAGGAAGGCTTCAGGGTAAACTTAACATATGTTAAGATCTGTAACCTTACCCACTGTCTGCAGGTCCCAGTTGCCTGATTGTTTCCAGGTCCACTTTGTCCAGGTGCATCTGTTGCACAGCAGTCAGCACCTTCTTCAGGTCCTCTGGGTCTGTGACACCAATCTGGAAAACAGACTGACAGTCTGACTGACAGTGATTACACTGGTTTTGTCTTAGCGCAGCATTTGATGTTGTAGATCGGGGTGGGGAGCTCCAGACCTCAATGGCCAGTGTCCTGCAGGTTTTAGATGTGTCCTTGATCCAACGCAGCTGATTCAAATGGCTAAATTACCTCCTCAACATGTCCTGAAGTTGTCCAGAGGCTCGGTAACGAACTAATCATGTGATTCAGGTGTATAACCCGCAGGACACCGGCCCTTGAGACCTGGAGTTCCCCACCCCTGCTGTAGATCATAATACACTAGTAAATACACAGGAAATCTGATGAGTCACAGGAACAATTCTTACACCCTCACTACATACAACCTCAAAACCTCAAAAGAAGAATGCAACATATCACACATGCTTGACTTCCTTGTATAACATACAAATGCACATCATGAAGCAGACCACATACAAACTGAAGAGGAAATGGCATTCCACTCATTTAGAAGATCTTCATATAGTCTGAAAAAATAGGTTGTTACTCTATTACAAAAAATGCCATCTGTAAAGCTAGGAGACCTTACTATTTATCACTGATTAAATAAAACAGGAACAACCCCAGGTTTCATTTCCACATTGAAGCCAGGCTGACAGAGAGCCTGACCTCTGTTAAACCAAGTATTCACTTAATTAGCAATGACTTTATGAATTTCTTCACCAAAAATGTAATGCAAATGCAGTTTCTTCCTCTAAATCATCAATGTGCCTTATAGACCCCATTCATACAATATAGTATAGTATACCATATTTTCCGCACTATTAGGCGCACTTAAAATCCTTAAATTTTTCTCAAAAATCGACAGTGCGCCGTATTGTCCGAAAAATACGGTAATTATACAGTATGAAGAACCTTGGACCCCTGTAGCTCAGGGGGTAGAACAGGTCTACTAATTAGAAATCTGGTGGATTGATCCCTTGCTGCCCCAGTCTGCATGCCAAATATCCCTGGGCAAGATATCAACCCCAAGTTGCTCTCCATATGTGTGTGAATGTTAGAAACCACTTGTATAGAAAAAGCAAAGAAAGTGCTTGTGTGAACGGGGCGAGTAGTTGTATAAAGCACTTTGAGTGTTCAGGTAAAGTAGAAAAGCTCTATATAAGAACCGTTCCATTTATACCACTAAAGTGAGATCTTCTCCAACCGAAGCTATTGTTTAAAAAGAAGTTTCAAAACGGTATTACTCAGAACTGCTTTTAAATAATGTAGCTACACCATAGAATTAATATTATATTTTCTATCATTTTCCCGTATTCTCTCTTTTAGTTTTATTTATTTATTTTTCTTTGTGACGTACTTTGAACACCCGGTGCTTGAGCGATGCTATATAAAGTAAACTTTTCTGAAGTTTAATCATGCTTCCATATAATTTGATCAGTTGATTGCCTCTAATTTACTGTGAATTATATACAGTGTATGCAAACATTTTGCATACATTCACCTTTTACACATTTTTGATTTCTCTCCCATACTGCAGAAGTAAGTGTAATACGTATCCGTTTAATCTCTTCTTAAAGGGTGACATCAGCAGCTACTCCTCTCTCTTTCTCGGTCATCATCAAATCTGGCAGCCAGAAAAGAGAGCTGACAGACACACAGATGTTACAGACATCCTCTACCTTCTTAAGGTCGTCCTCCTCCATGGTCAGCAGGTAACTCCAGGTGATATCATTTTCCTGTGCATGTGTGTATGTGGAAAGCCAAAAACAGAAAAGATCACTCAACATTTACCAAATCAAAACTTCACAACCTGAAGCAGATGTACCTGCATAACACTTTTCCATACAGTAACAGAAAGCCACCTGCAGCTGTCAACGCTGGTCCACATAAATCAGATAGGGCCTAAAAACAAAGCTCACCCCAAGTTTAATTCAGGCCAAGCTAATCCAGCACATTACATCTATTATTTAGTACCAAGTAAAATATGTAAACTACAAGACACATTCCTACAAGACACAAGCCTAGACGTATCTGTGTCAATAAGGCAGCTGTGCTCATTTCACTGTAGCTCACCTATTACATCAATAATATATCACACTGTGTCCAATAACACACCATATCTGCTCAATATCCTACAATTTTTGAGATAAGAGAAATCTTTCATATTTAAAAAAAAGTACTATGCATTCAAAATATACATTTTTGATCAGAGAAAAACACACCAACATAGAGACATATCCTATTGCTGGGTGCACTAGAGTACTTACAGTCATAATGTCAGTGAGGTAGCCCAGGTTAAGGCCATGCAGGAGGAGCTCCAGGTCATCAAGCTTGCTTACACTGAACAGGGCAGAAATTCCACTGTGACTTACAGCTAACTGAGTTATTACACAATATTAACCCATGTGGCAAAGGGTGTGGACAACTAGTCAACTAAACACTTCTGCACCGTCCAGTTTACAACAAAAACAACTTTCTCAACCAAATATTCATAGCTTTTAATAGATTTTTAATAAACTTCACACTTTACTGTTGAATCTAAGATGCCATCCTCAATCTAATACCATAGAAAAAAAATGTCCTTAAACATATAAACTTCTTTATTAAAAACTAATTTTAAATCGCTGGCGTAATGTTAGCAGACAGTTTTTTTTTAATGTTAACATTGTACTCTGTTGACCGGACACAATGAAATGTCAAGATGGTGCCCAAGTTACCAGATATATTGTAAAGCTTATGTATAACGTTAGCTACTGCAAATATTTAGTCTATGAGAAAGAACTGATTTCACAACAGCAATGACCAGTTAGCTTAGTGAGGGACACTTTTTAATTACAAAAATAAAACACACTATATCTTTGGTATCAGATTTTTATAAAAGAATATTTTTTAGGTTGTATGTGGTATCACTGTGATTCTGGTGAATTTGGACTATATTTTGTGCTGTGTCTAAGTTTTCCTGTGCTTATAAGTGTACTTGTTTTTCTATAGCATTTATGCTGAAGTTCCAGAAGAACTCCCTGTCTACATGAGGGCTGCAACGACTCGATGGCATAAGATTATAAAAATTCATCGACGCTGTATTTTATTGTCAACGTGTCATATACTAAAACTACTTAAATGTGTTTTTGTAATTGCAATACACCACAGGAAGCTATCGGGGCAGTGTCACCTACACTGTCGAGACAGCACCCCTCAACCTCCCAGACTGGGGCATGAAGGATAAACTGCCCACAAGGGAATTTTTCTTTCTTTTTTTTTTTTTAAGTCAGTTAAAACAGATTAATTGGCATTGACCATCTGAGAAACAATAATAAATATACTGCCTGACCAAAAAAACCCAAAGGTCACATACTCTAATATTTCATTGGACCACCTTTAGCTTTGATTACGGCAAGCATTCTCTGTGGCATTGTTTCAATAAGCTTCTACAATGTCACAAGATTTATTTTCACCCAGTGTTGCATTAATTTGTCAACAAGATCTTGCATTGATGCTGCGCAAAGCTTCCTCCAGCGCATCCCAAAGATTCTCAATGGGGTTAAGGTCTGGACTCAGTGGTGGCCAATCCATGTGTGAAAATGATGTCTCATGCTCCCAGAACCACTCTTTCACAATTTGAGCCCAATGAATCCTGGCATTGTCATCTTGGAATATGCCTGTGCCATCAGGGAAGAAAAAACCCATTGGTGAAATAACCTGATTATTCAGTATAGTCAGGTTGCTGAACTGTTGCTGAACCTAGACCTGACCAACTCCAGCAACCCCAGATCATAGTACTGCCCCCACAGGCTTGTACACTAGGCACTCGGCATTATGGGTACATCACTTCATTGCCTCTCTCCTTACCCTGATGCGCCCATCACTCTGGAACAGGGTAAATCTGGACCACATGACCACCTCCCATTGCTCCATAGCAAATTGAAGCCTTTTTTCCCAGTTTGCCTCACTGATTACTGGTTTCTACACAGCTGTTCAGTCCCAATCACTAGAGTTCCCTTCGCATTGTGTGTGTGGAAATGCTTTTACTTGCACTAGTAAACATAGCCCTGAATTCTACTGTTGTTTTTCTTCGATTTGACTTCATCACCGATCACAATCATTCAGGATTTTGTTCTGGCCACATTTCTTCCTTGAAGACGATGGGTCCCCACTATCCTTTCACTTTTTAATAATGCGCTGGACAGTTCTCTACCCAATTTTAGTAGTTTCTGCAATCTCCTTAAATGTTTTCTCTGCTTGAAGCATACCAATGATTCGACCCCTCTCAAACACACTAACATCTCTTCCACGACCACGAGATGTGTCTTTCGACATGGTTGTTTATGAAATGAGAAGAAACTCATTGCACCACTCGGGGATAAATAACTTGTTGCCAGCTGAAAGATAATCGCCCATGCAGTAATTGTCCAATAGGAGGCTTGTACCCATTTGCTTAGTTAAATCCAGGTGGTGACTTTTTTTTTGGCCAGGCAGTCAAAATATGTATCTAAACAAACTTTTAATTAGTAGCAGTCTTTTCTATTTCTGTTTTGTCCTGCATTAAACAAAGGTGTATAGATGAGTCTGTCCTGAAAAGAGGCTTATGCACCTCTCAAATTGCTGAAGTCATGGAAGAGAGCATCTTCACCATGGTTATCAGCAGCTGAGAACATCATTTCAAAGATAAGAGCAAGCCTCACTCCAGAGCACATCCACTGCAGTCGTGAATCCATGAACGATCATCTGTAAACTTTGGAAACGCGTTATTTTGGACTGGAAAAAAAGCTTTTTGATTTAATTTCTAGCTTTACTCAAACTTATGGAACTATCTGAACTATTTGCACGTTTTTTTGTTTAAATACTACTAGCACTTTAAGTGATGATTCATTTTCAGAAGGTTTTTGAAAGGTAGTGAAATTTTTTAGATTTTTTGCTCCCATTTAACAGCATAAAAAAATTCATTACCAGAGAATCCCTACCAAGTACGGTACTTGTTGGGACAGGATGGGAGTCAAAACGTATTTGATTTTCTGACTACTCTACTGTTGATTAAAAGAAGAAGAAGAAAACAACAATGCTAAAAAGCTGAAACTCCTGAAGTGCTTTTGAGGATCGATCTGCATTTTTTACATTTTCATTCTTTCTAAATCAGCATTTGACGTGGAGGTCAAAGGGGTAAAGACATAATTTTCTACTCTCAGGATCAAAAGAGAGCAACAAGGAGTACGCACACATTAGAGTAACCACAGAGTACTCGCAGTTCCAGTCTGACCGCTGGCATGACGCGCTTCAGAAATTAGCTTCTCTTCTCATGATGTTCATAACATGTTTAATGTGTAACATGGGTTTTAACGTCTTTGTAGCCGACAAGAGAGAAAGGCAGCTAAAATGTTTACAGCCTCTAATTCACAGTGCCAGACGTGGTCTAAAATTACGTTTCTGGCTGATGATAATTGCCCAGCAGTGCCTGAATGGACTAAACATTCATGCAGAAGGTTTATTATTGTTTATGTCTGGTTCGACAATGGTTCAACAACACCTGCCACACAGACACTGGTTCACTAAGAATCCAACAGGGGCCATTAAGCTACAGTGACGACTGGAATAGAGTTTTGTAATGACAAGAGATAATTGGTGTAAAGAGGAGTTGTATGAACAGAGTCCATCGTCACTCAAGCACTGACAATCAAGTCTGAACACATATTGTTTTTACCTGTTGTAAACTCACAGCCCTGTACAACCACAAGTTTTCACGGACAGGAATTAAACAACAACAAAAAAAAAGGAGACAAACAAGTTAAAATAATACTACCATATTGATAAAACACTTTAGAAATCTGAAGCTTCTGTGATGATGGGTTCAGAATCGAGAAACCTTTTAAGAATGTCACCTATTGCTGCATAAAAAACAACAACCAACCAACCAAACAAACAAACAAAAGCCCTAAATGCATGCAAGTTTAGTTTAGGGCTTTCAGAGTTATCTTACCTCTCCTTGGGAGTTGGAAATTCAGAGTTAGTCTTGAAGAATTTAGATAGCGTGTCCTCCATGGATCCAAAGGCCTGGACATTAGAGATGTTTGAGGAAGAGGCCAAGATCCTCGAAATCTGTGAACAAACGCATATTCATGAACTCTGTAAGATTAAGCAGCTGATGGTAGAAAATGTTTTTGACAAGTGCATCACTGTAACTTTAAAATAACTCAAAAGTTGCATAAGCCCATCCAATGAGTCAAACTAGACCCTTTAGTGGGTAGATTCATGCCCCCAAACCAATTCAATTAATGCTTATAAGCATTTCTGACATGCTAAAAGCATATAGGTGGCATGTAAAAGCATCTAAGTACTTTAGGTACCTGTCTGTGTTTGAAGCTCTCAGCCAGATCAGCAGGGCTTTTGCCAGTCTTTGTCCTGATGGTTTTGTTTGCTCCCAGCTGGAGGAGTTTCAGCACTGCCTCCTCTCTTCCATACTGCACTGCCACAGTCAAAGCCTAACAAAAAAAATACATTAGTTACATACATAAGGTCAAAGTACAAATGTTATCATGATAAAAATTATGCATTATATATTACACTGTGCCCTCTGTTACAGGGTCTGCTACAGTTAAACTGAAGGCCCCCACATAAGAACTTTGACTTGACAAACATAAGTAACACACTGTGTATCCACTGCGTTCCTGGATGTTGATTTCAGCCCCATGGGACACCAGGATGTTGATGACTTTACTGTAGTTGTCCCTGGCTGCCAGCATGAGGCAGGTCATTTGGGACCTGAGAGGAGTAGCAGGCAAGAAAACAGAGAGAAGATAAGGACAAAGGAAAAGGACAATTTTAAGAAAATAATTTAGATGGAGCAGTAACCATTCTGGGGGTGGAGAGAATACATGGAAGCAGCAGAGAATGTGAAATGGACATTAGTCTGTTGAACGAGGACACAGCAAGTACAGTGACCAATGAAAATGGGTACACATATTAATAGTATATGGAAAAACCACCAGGGTGCAGTAGATACCATGTTATAGATAGTCCTTCAGGTTGGAGCCACAGTGACTGAGCAGCCACATTCCCCATTTCAACAAGTGTTTGATGAAGATTGGTGATTTTCTACTTTGATCTTTCTTATGTCTTTGTTAATAGACACATTTATATAGCATTTGTCTGTTTTTACTGAACACTTCTAGGCTTTCTACACTACAAGCCACATTCTCACACAGACACACACACCTACCAATAAAGTGATTTATTCTATACCTTTTATTCTCTACAACATGCCTACGTATGCATTCCTTATCTTCCCAAGAGATTGAGACCCAGAGATTGGACCTGTTGTTGATTAAGGTGACCTGCTCAAGCTCCTGAGTCACAGCTGATGACCCATAAGAAACAAGACGTTTTGGTACCATAATTCAGACAAGATAAGCAGTTCTATGGCATCATAGAACTGGGGAATTGTTAAAGGTATGCTACCTACACTGAGTATTTTTGATTGATAGTACAGTGGGAACAGGTAGAGATTCCAGAGTCACAGCCCAAACATCTTCAAAACGTCTGCAGGTACTTGTACTGCCACTTTTTCAGCCTTATAGCTTAACAAAATACATTTGATATACCACTATCACTGAATTATAAAAGTAATGAATTCAGTGATAATTGAAAAGTTGCAATAATACTGAAATATTGAGACCACAACTACAGTCTGGATCCTTGCACTCTGCACTAAAACAGCACCCTGCTGAATCAGCCTCTGGACAACGGCCAGTGTTTTAGTGCTTGCAGTATAGCCAGTGGACTTACTGTTCTGTCTGTTGGACAACATTTATGAATGCAGATAAAGTTTTAAAAGATAATAAAAAGTTAAAGAGTCATCTGATGACATGCAGGCTAAAAGAGCCATCAGTCTTGAGTGCTACCTACCGAGTCACAATCACTACACGGTTTTCAGAATTTCAGAACCCTATAGCTTATCAACCAGTTGACTAACCATCCGTTTCAAAGCTACAAAGCTCGAGAAAGAAAAAAAAATAGCAGTATAATCAACCAAAGTCCTTCTAGAAGCAAGTCTCGTCTCTCATCAGCCATCCTGAAATGCATGAAGGCAAATATTTTTAAGTATTATTTAACCTCCTAGGACCTGGCGTCCACATATGTGGACATCACATTTTGGGTTATTTAGACCAAAATACTAAATTTTGCTCTACATGGGCCTGATATCCTCTTACAAGGACATTATATTGCTACTGTTCTATCAAAATGTGGCTCTGATTTTTCATAAAAACAAAAATAAGGTTTAAAAAAAATCTGGTAATTCTTTGTTTTTACATTCATTGGGCCCCAATATGCCCAAATATCAAAGAGAAATTAAAAATGCATGCCGTGGAAGAGTTCGGGTCTTAGGAGGTTAAGTTAAAAAAATTGTAGTGGGCAAAGAAATTGAAAATTATATGCTCAGATTTGCATACAAATTTGATATAATGTGCTTGAAAAGCTTTCGGGCTTGTTCCAAAGAAAGGTGTGAAATTTTCTACCATCATTGTTCGTTCACCCTTAGATTTCAGTTTGAGATTCTTTGAATCCCATGTCTCTCATTCATCAGCTTCATGAATGAAGATAGATTTGAAAAATGATAATTAAAATAGATATATAATCATATGGCAGCTGACATTTCATTTCAGCAAATGCAAATCAGCAAATTCCTCTTCTCCATTTGGTCCATGTACCTTCAAATCCTGCTCAAACTTGACTGATAAATAAAACTCACACTAAAAACGGCCAGGAAAAGGGAAAACACTACAGTGATAAGTGAAGATCACTTATAAACATGTCTATCAAATTCCAGGGAGTCTTAAAACAATGCCCTGGTTTTAACAACTTTAACCTTTCTTGTTTATTATTAGTAGTTATAGTTAGTTATTAGTCTATTGCCTCCATGTGTTTGCTTCCACTTAAACACGGCCTTATATCAAATAACTTCTGCTACAGTAAAGTACGTCCTCTGTCTTATCACCTGTGACTCAAACATAACAGGCAAGAGAAATACATCAATCCAAGGGCTGGGAAAGTTTAGGGGCCAATTTATCACTTCACTTAATTCTTTTATGAGGAACTGTGTGTTTGTCTATGTACGTGTGTGCGTATGTCAAACATTTAGAAAAAAAAACATCAGGAAGTAAATAGGAGGCATTTTAAAGAATAATCCATAATTCACAATTCACATGCAATTATGCTTCAGTTGATTCACAGGTCTAAAACTTAAATAAGTAAACTTTTAGAGATTAACTAAGTTCAACACGATATGTGAGTAAGCCTAAAGGTAAAACTGTGATCGGGAAAGGTGTTTACATAACTGCCAGCAAATCATCTTGAACTTAGAAGTGCCCCTAAACAGAGGTGATGTTTGTGAAACGAGTCTAAATCTGTGCAGCACATCCGAGGTTTTTGCTGAACACCGATGATGATGAGCAGTAAACGCATCAACATCTTCATTTAACAAATTCCCAGAAATCACAAGTTAATGTTCCATGTGAACTCAAACAAATGTGGCAATGGCTATGACAACATCTTTAGTAACATGCCTCTGTGCTCACTAATCAGTGGCTAGAGTGGCAAGAAAACAAGATAGGAAGGGTCATAAAGTTTCTGCTTCCATGCCCTCTCCTATTTTATTTTCCCAAGGGTTGTTATGGTGTGAGACAGGCCTCAAGGTCACTCACAGACCACTTCTGTGTGTTCTCTGTATGTGTGTCCTTCACACTGTGAGTTCTGGACCGTTCCCAAACAGTGGGCTGATCAATATGCAGACAATTCAGTATAAAAATTGTTCCTGCTATGAGGAAGAACAATGACTTCCAGAAATATCTGACTCACTGCACCTTGGTCAGCACTCTCAAATAGATTCCACAATCTAATCTTAAGATTTTACGATGAATAAATTTACATAAGCACCTGGAAAGATATCTTCTCTTTAGTGACAAAATAACTATTGCCAAATAATGAATCTTGAGCAACACCTTTCCTCCCTATAAATGACAGTAAAGGGAAAAGTAACTCATTGCTGCTACCAACCTACGCATAGATAGTTAGTTTGGGTACCTGTGAGGACAGGCGAGCCAAAGTGCAAAACAAAAAAGTTTAAAACAAAAAAGGAATACTAAGAATTACATAAATGTAAAGAAGCAGTCATGCAAACATCTCCAATGTTATAACAAACTCAAAGCACATCACTTTTGAGTGATGCAAACCAACAGAAATTGGTGCCAGTGATGTGAACAGAACATGAAAAAATGAATCTGATGTCCTGCTGAGAAGGCCTCTCAGCTGAGGTTCTCCCAGACTGTGGATTCTTCTACAGGTACTGAAAATCACAGAAACTCACAGATAAGCCTATTGTGGCTGTTTTGGGCAGCTGGAGAGGTATGATTCAACTTTTAAATACAGACAGGAAGAAAGAACAGAAACAATCACATTTGTAAGACTGATAAGACCTAAACAAAATAGGAGAGGTCTTCCACAAGCTGGAATTTACTCAGGGCCTTCTTGACGTGAGGTTCTTCTGCTTCCCTGGGCACTGTGTCTGTGGGGATGGTTTTCGCTCTATGTTGTGGTGTCCTGATGACACCCAGTTTATGCTCCAGTTCCCCCATTGAAAACGTAACGTCCAAATGAACAGAATCAACCTTTTGGGAAATAAGTAAGAACTTCTCTTTTTTTCTATCTCAATGAAGAATCTCGATTTTGACTTTCTGTAGAAAAAAAATTGTTGAGAAGCAGAGATGGGTATAACACCATTCATAAAGCTTTCAATGTCAGCAGACATTCTGCAGCCTCCTTTCTAATTAAAATAAATACTAATACAAAGTAAATATTTTTGCTACATCACAAAGTTTGCAAACCCCTCATGTTTTCCAAACTTTTTGAATGACTGCAAGGAAAAAGCCACTAAAAATGTCTCTGAATGAGCCCTATCCGGTGTGTACATTACCTTTAATGCGTTTAGCAAAGATCAGCACAGTGAAGGTGGAAAAAAAAAAAAAAACAGGGGACACATGGAGGCAATGGACCCCACATTGTGCTCCTGCAGGACTGTGAGAGATGACAGAGAATTCTTGTTTACCCTAAAACGGAGGAACGAGCAGCTGGTGTTAATCATTGGTTTGATATTCAGACGTAAGAGACGATGAGGAGGTGGGGAAGGTTTATCCTCTGCACCCACATGAACCTCACATTCTTTTTCTTTTTTTTAATGTTGGGGGCTGTTGGCCCCTCTCCTCATCCCCTCCCTTCATCTACATCCTTCTGTGTCTTGTTACTTAACTTCAAATGTTTTGTCTGAGAAGGAACCAATCAATTTCCTAATGCTACAGCCTGTCTTTTTGTATCAACAGGGGGTTTCAGGTGGCATATGTCGTGCATGTAATGACATTCTGGCTGTGACAGTGTGGCAGAGGATTAGGGAAAGCTAAACAAGGCCACTGGGGGGCTGCACCCACACTTTGACACAGCAAAATTCCACAGATGGTAACAGTAAAAGTGGTTCAAGAATGGTCTGCCCTCATTCTTTTCCATGAGAGGACATTTTTCAAGTTCTTTTCTGAGGCAGGAAACCAGAGTTTATATCCAATCACTGCAGAGACTGATGGATACCAAACTTACCCAGCTTGGGTACGGGGCTTGTATTAATACATGCAGCCATAAATATAATTTAGAATATAAAAGTCAAATTCCCAATGTAGCTGCTTAAGTCCTTAGGGTCAATTAAGACACACCTTTTTTGAGTTTTACGTTTTTTATGCATCTATAAAATATTTGTCATCGTCGCTTTAGCTGGCATTCAACACCTCTTGAAGTTAGCCACAGATGCACTGCAAAAACTCAAAATCTTACCAAGTATATTTGTCTTATTTCTAGTCAAAATTATCTCATTACACTTAAAATAAGACACAATCAGCTACAGGGCAACATTTCAGTAAGCTAAAGGAACTTGTTTCAAGACAGTGAATCTTGAAACTAGAGAAAAACTAGAGATTTTTCACTTGTTCCACTGGCAGATTTTTTTCACTTATTTTAAGCTAAAATATCTTGTATTAAGTGAAAAAATCTGCTTCAATTAAAGCAGTCGTCTCGTCGAGGGCCAGTGTCCTGAAACTTTTCCATGTGTCCCTGTTGCAACACACCTGAAAAAAATGAGTAGGTCATTAGCAAGACTCTATAGAACTTGACTTCATGCTGGATTGGCAACTCCTAACCCTACTCAAGTAAAGTAAATGTAAGTATTCAGAAAAATGTACTTGTAAAAATACTTTTGTTGCACCATGTTCATTTATTTATGAGCTGCTGTAACATGAATCAAATGGCTGAATTGCCACCTCAGCATGCATTCAAGTTATATAGAGTCTTGCTAATGACATACTAATTGTATTCAGGTGTGCTGCAATAGGGACACATGGAAAAGTTTCGGGACAGCGGCCCTTGAGGACTGGAGTTGGAGACCCCTGAATTAAAGTTTCACAATGTTGTTGCAACCAGTGCAATTTGGGGTAACACCTATGTCTTTAAAAGAGCTTTCATTTTTCCAAGGATTCTTGTTTATCTTGGTATGAAATCAGACAAAAACAAAATCGTGGTTTTAGGGAGACCTACAACATATCATTTTGTTTTGTTATGTGCCCAGAGGTGTTTCCATGATTATTGTACCAACATTAATTAATTTCCAGGTCTGTCTTTTGTTCTGTAGCTCTACACGCCTATATTTGTATAATTTACAATTCAAGAATCTATTTATTTCATACTACTGTGTTTTTGTCTGTGTTGACCATGTACTTGATAAAACACAATGGACCAAGCAGCTCCAACACCAGCAGATGACATGGCACCACTAATCATCAAAGAGTACACAAACTTCACAACTCAAACATCTAGGATTCTGTGCTTCTCCACACCTCTATAATCTAGGACATATTTTTTAAAGGAAAAGCAAAATTTGTTTTCAACTGCAATGATGACTTTGGACAGGAACAGTCCATGAATAACAATGACAAATGTCATATCTGTTGCCATCTATTGCAAATCTCTTGCTGTCTAATTGACCAAATGTATAATTCAGAAACAAAAAGACACAGCTAGTTAATGTAGGGAGTAACATACTAACAATTCAGTACAAACAGAGTTTTTGTGGCAGCCTGAAATCTGTGTGTAAAATAAAACATTATTTACTTTCAGATTTAGTGTGATGTGTGTATTATATCGCAGTAGATCTGGCAGTAGATTATGTTACACTATGTTACACTATGTGAAACTAAACCGTAATAGGCTGCTATCTCTCATCGTGCAGTTAGAAAGCCTTGGTATGAGGGCATCTCTGAAGTAATGTTAAACACACAGTTTGTTAGCTTTGCAAATGAGCTGAGTTGCTATGATGAGCCAATAGAGCAGGAGTAGGCAACTCCAGGCCTCGAGTGCCGGTGTCCTGCGGGTTTTAAATATCACCCTGGGTCAACACACCTGAATCAAATGATTAGTTCATTACCAGGCCTCTGGAGAACGTCAAGACATGTTGAAGAGGTAATTTAGCTATTTGAATCAGCTGTGTTGGATCAAGGACACATCTAAAACCTGCAGGACACTGACACTCGAGGCCTGGAGTTGCCTATCCCGATCTACAATATCAAATGCTGCGCTAAGACAAAACCAGTGTAATCACTGTCAGTCAGACTGTCAGTCTGTTTTCCAGATTGGTGTCACAGACCCAGAGGACCTGAAGAAGGTGCTGACTGCTGTGCAACAGATGCACCTGGACAAAGGAACAGCGTCAATCCTGAGTGAAATCTCAGCCCTTACCTGACCGTCATTCACTGCATCTTTCACAGTTAGAAACTTGAAGCCCAAGATGCTGCAAAACACATTACAGAACCAAATCATTTTCACAAAGTCTGCTGTTGATCTTAGTAAATGGAAGAAGATGGATCGTTCCCTTGTTCAGAGATTTACAGATGTCGCTTTAGGGAAAGGAAAAAAAAAATAGGGTTATGCACTATTTTACAGATGTTTTTCTGCAGGAAGGCTGAAAAACATCTGTCATCAAAACAATGTTTTTTAGTAATATCCTTTAGTGAAATATTAATTCTTTCTTTAAACTCAATTTCGACATTATTTCATATTAAATATTAAAGTTAAGTGACAAAGATGGTGAAAAACTGATCAGTGGACCGGGGATTTAATTCTGGCATGTTGATCCATTCATACTGTTGCATCGACTGTAAGTAACTGAAGAGGAACGCACAAGACTGGTAACATTGTGAATATTAATTTAAATAATCCTGATTCATTATAACATTCACATATTAATGTTACACACTAAAAAGGCCCCATTAACGCCTACGCCTAATGAGGGAAGTAAAAGAAAGAAACATGAATGTTGCTCTGTGTGCGCACGCTGCTGAGAAAAGACAGGGCAAGCCGAACCTGCTCTGCTCATTGTAAAAAGGAAAACAAGATGCATTTTTATTCAGTTCAGTTTCATCAAACTCCTGGTATTATTGCAGAGTTTGAATACATGGGGCTTGACACCAAAAGCTCAGAGCATCAGAACAAAGGCAGTTTTGGCACTGGCCTCACAGCTTTGAGCAATCCGGCAATGCCAATTATGCACTCTTTCTGATAACATCTCTTCCTGATTCCAAATAAACACTTCTAGTGGCAACTGTCACACATTGCCGCAAGGGGTGGATCTAGCAAAGTTTAGCCAGGGGGGCTGATAGGGCATTAACAGGGAAAAGGGGGCACAAAGACATACTTTTCTTTCTTATTCTCATTTAAAATGTCTAGCTTTTAATAAATAATTATCCGAATCTTACACCCAAAGTTTTAATCTGATGTAAAATGTATAGAAGTCCATTACTGTATATAGTAACTATTAAGTCTAATATACCCTAGTAAGCTATAGTACTTTTTCCTTTGTGGAGGTACCATCTGTGCAGTCTGCAATTCTGTTGAAAAAAAGATGTTGAATCTATTTAATTATCCTTGAAAATAATTGATTTCTGTGTATTTTCTTTCTCACTGCATCAAATTATAGTTGATTACATTGATTAAGCATCATGAGGTGGAGGGTGGGTGGTTCCCTATCTATTTTTTTATTTTTTTTGCTGGGAGTTTCAGAACCCTATTAGTTAGGTTGCTTACTCTTTAAAATACCAGAATAGGGAGGATGAAGTAGGTTTAAGTTTATTAGATTGATCAGTTTTGCTGAACTATGAAATATTTGGGTGCTGTGTATTTTTTTGCATACAGGTATAACAGAATAGCTTTAGTGTTTTGTTTTGAACTTGAGTATGAACTTATACAAAAACAAGATATTTAAAAAAAAAACAGTTTTATTGATTAAAAAAATACACTATATTGGATTCATATCGGTATCGGCAGATATCTAAATTTATGGTATCGTATCTGACATATCTCTCGTCACATAAAACATAGACATCTTTTTCCAGTTTTATCATTATTATCTAAAAAAAAATTTACATTATAAAATTATTGCACAGGTCTCCTCCCTTGGGATCATAATGGGCTATCCAGAGGTTGAAGGTGCTGCACGCTAAACCTCTGGGAAACCAGGCAACTCAGTCAACTTAATATAGACCTTAATAATTTTTCAAAAACACAGCCAGACAACAGCAAATTTTCTAATTATTTAAAGTAACTAAGAGGTGGTAGCATCCAAAATTTCACACACAAATTTTCAAGGTATCATATCAACACAGCTTGAGGAGCATTTCAGCTGTGCTACAGTGCTTAAAAGCCCGCTCTGTTGTGCGTTGTTTTTTCACCTACACTTCAAGGCTTTGGACCAACAAACTACCAACACCACACTGACTGGGTTCAATTCAACAAAATGTGTAAAAAAGTTTCTAGTCTCTTGCCCACCCTTTACACTCTATGTTTGTTTGTCTGTCTGTCTGATACCCGTCTGTACATGTACATGCCATAACAGGACATTCCAAACAAAACACACAAATATACACACACTGTATGGAGCACAGTGGTGCATAATGCTACCACATGGCAGCTAAACATACGAGAACCATCAAAGGAAATGTGATCCAGCACCTCGTTTTTTTCCTCCCCTGTTCTAGAAAAGTATGAAGTGTTTTTATTTGGCCTACATCAAAACGGGTGTGACTGTGCGTACTGTGTTGAAAATCCCATAAATATTTTGACCTAAAACACATCTGCACCCTCCCTCACCTGTCCACCATGTTGGGGTCAGCATTTCTGGACAGCAGAAGCTCCACGCAACGTGCAATTTTGTCCTCACTGGCAGATGCCGTGCAGCTGGCCATGAGCACCGTCCAGTGATCTGTGGAAAAGAACAACAACAATTTTAAGAGTCACTTCTATTTTAATAAACATTTAGTTTAGCTCGGACTATTAAAAAAATACATTAAAACCATATCAAGCTGGCACCAATTATACACATGTAAAGATTGCCACTGACAATGGAGACAACATTTTTGCTTATTTTGTGGAGAAGATGCAGACAGACTGCAGCTGACAAATTCCACCTGTGTGTGAAACTCATGCCAGGCACGTTGTTGTCTGGTGTCGATGCAGCTGCTTGGACGTGCAACCAAAAAACGCATCCTTGTTTGAGTCTAGTAAAGCTTTAGAGGAAGCATTAAGAACTATACTATATGGGTTTGAAAGCTGATTCATGTTTGGCTGATGCTCGTAATACCATGAAAAGATATCAAAGAAACAAATCAGTTTCAGAATAGTCCAATTTTAGAGACCTCAAATACTACGTTATTGCATTGACAAAATCACTTTCAAGTGATTATTACATGGCCAGTTGCCCAGGCACATTAATGGCTACATTAATAGCGGATGTCTACTACTACTAGGTTTTTAAATGTCTGAATGAATGTCACTATCTGCCCTTGATTTACTTTTGCCCTCACTCTTATTTTAAAAGACCAATTGCCACTATCCAGCATGTTTGCTTGTTCATGTTCCTCTTGTGGCCGTCTATGATAACATTCAGCTGCTCCTTCAGTTAGTCCCTCCACTGTCTCGAGAACATAGTACTACTGCAAGGTGAAGGGCCACTCTAACCAGAACCTGCAACATGAGGATGCAGAGATCACCAAGCCGAGACTTAACAAGAACTACTGTCACCAGCTGCTGTTCGTGACGGTTCCTCCTGTGTTCCCCTCTTTCCGTTTCTCACTTTGTGTGTGATTTTGAACCTTTTCACTCTTTTAGATTTCTTCCTGTTATATTTTGAAGATAACTTCCCTCCTTTCCTGCCGTTCTTCTTCCCACTCCTGTTAACTTCTGATTAAGTTCATCTGTTCCTTACATCCTTTAAATCTGTGTCTATTCCTTCAATCTCTGTCAGGTCATCTTATTTGCGTATTTGATATGCTTTTGTCCCCCTTGCCACCACTGAGCAATGCTTTGGGTATTTTACCATGGATAAATAAAAACCCCTAATTGAGTCCCTTAAAATTAAACTTGGTTTTCAGTCAGTGTTCTCTCAACTACTGCCAACATTTTTGCTGTAATGAAAACTGCAATACTTGAATTTAAAAGTACCCTACCTGTTTACTGAATGGTTTCTTCTGGCCAGTAGCAGTGAAGCTCATGTTTTTGCACAGGACAAGTGTTCCTTCTGTCTCATGTTTGTTTTTGAAGAATTGTGTAGTTAAATCACTGTATTTACCTCTTGGGGAAAAAAAATGGTATGCTTCTAATTTATAATTACATTACTTGATTGATGATTTGCAGTGATATAGAAAAGGATAAAATATCTGAACCTGGATGGAGCAATGGAGACTGATAGCGGTTTTATCTGGCATCAGGAAGTGTGGCTGCTTTTATGGACCCTTTGACTTAGAGGATTTGTCTCCTTATCTTAAACTGATAAAAGTATTCTAAGACCTGTGGCAATGCTCTCAATTCCTGGTTTGTTCCGGTAATGAGTGACTCTCTAACTTGTGTGCTTCTAAATGCGTTTAGATGTTTCCCTGTATGTGTGTTTGTGCGCACAAATACCTAGGTCTCTACATCTGTATATGGGTTTCTGTGTCTTTGTGGCTGTGCATGTTTGGCTCCATATCTGTGTGTGTTTATATTATGTTCGTGTGGGTGTAAACCAGACTGCCTGGTTTGCGTCTACAGAGGCCTGGAGTAAATAAATCTGAGGCCTGAGAATAAGTGAGAGGGCATGACAGCAGCATGGTGAGCTTTATCAATCACTAATGCATTCCTCTGCTCAGCATCACTGCTTGGACAAATGCTATCAGGATCTGACCACACGTCAGCCCTCATCTACTCCATTTAATTGTTTCCTTCACCTGCCTGAAGCAGTGATTGCCAAGAAAACTGTGAAATCAGTCACACACAGTCCAACTCAGCATTCTGGACTGAGAATTAATTGATATCAGATATCAACACACTGACGAGTGCCGTTGGTCTTGGGTCTGGGGACTTTTAGCAGACAAATGAGGTTTTTTTTGGTGGACACTCTGGGAAATTAAGAATGGAGTGATTTTAAATATTTTATAGTCAAACTGACAGGGATGGAGAGAAAAAAAAGTTGCTGTTTTTATCTTAATCTGAGTAATTTTTAATTTTGGTATTTTTAAACTGAAAGCCAATCAGTTTTCATGGCTATTGTGTCTGCTGGTATTTGGGAGTGCTGATCAGAATAAGAAAATTCTGGAGTGGAATTTTTAAGGTTTGTGCAAAATGTACTGTACGTAAAATCACACCAGATAAACCAAGTGTGCTTGGTTCTATGCTTAATATTTCTGGCTAGTGATAATGCCTTTAGGTGAGTAACATAATTTATTTACAAGAAAACAGACATGAGAGATCTGATGCATTTATATTGTGGATGATTCGACTTAAGGCCCAAGCAAAGAAAGCAGGGAACTATTTAGGAATGATGACTACATCCATCTTTTCCTATAAAGTGGGGAGAGTTTAATCTATTCCAAAATCTTTCATCAATACAAGCAAACTTCCCAGAATCAGATGTCAGTCAGTGCTAAGCTGCAGCTTTGATTCTAAAAACAGTCCAATTTTTAGAGGTCAAAGGTCCCAATTACTGTAGCTTTGTTCCTTTATCATAAAGTTACATTCCATGTGATTCACTAGGGAAAAAAACTAGAAAAAACATTTTTACCAAAAACTAAACACAGATTCATTACTATCTGATTAAAGTAGGCTCAACTTTCATATCTCCACTGAAAACCATACATATATACACTACAACACGGCACTCTTTGAACTCTTTAACAAAATGTGTTTGTGGTGTGTGCTCCAGCTACAGAACTGCAAGAGGATACGTGGTTTTATGAGTGTAAAACTGTAAACCTTTTAACATGGAGGCGTTCTGCTTCCTTGGTTGTTTCATCCAGACTGATCTCGAGCCAACAGATGCCTTCAATTTTTCTTGCTTTGGGATGAGGGTTCAGCTAAAAAGAACTCAAAGGATCAGCAGTGTGTTTCTGCAAGAGTTCCTCACTGGCGTCACAGCCGTTAAATAATGTCAGATGAAGCATAGCGGTGCATAGGTCTGATTGGTTTCCTGATCTTTGGCTTCAGCAGGTGAGGAAATTGATAAAACGTGCCATGGGGGAAAAATAGCTCGACATCAACGCAACAGAGACTATTGGGGGGGAATTAGGCCAGGGTGTTTAATATTCAAGTCTGCAAGGCAAAATGAAGGACTATTGTCTAATCACACCATCTGCCCTTCCTGAAAAGCAGTGGGTAAAAGATTGCACAGGGGTCAGTGGGCCCTACGGGTGTTAATGTTAATGTTGACCATCAGTAAAAAGTAGTCTGCCTAAACTGTTTGTTTTTTTTAATCTATGTAATTGTAAGACTCTTAAAAGATTAACACTCAAAAAGTTTACAACTACTACATATTATAAAACAAAAGGCTGTTATCATGAGTTTAAGTTTTAAATTTCCTTTGGTATAGCTATGAAAGTGCTGAACCAGATGCATTTAATGAGATCTCACCACTTTTATGATGATATAGGTACATTTCGCAGAACTTTGACACAGAGTGGCTCTTTGCATGGACAGAAATGCAGAAATGTCAGTTATGCTTGACTGTTAACACTGGTTAGCAACATATATATATATATATATATATATATATATATATATATATACACACATATATTGGTGATTTGCATATTTGCACTGCCAAAAAGCCTTTTGCATAATTTTTCTTGTAACTGCTTTGATCCTTTGACTTCTCATACTGATTTAAAAAAATATTTTTAATTAAAAAAAAAAAAAAAGAGGTAGGATTACAGCTGTATTTAAAAATCGAACAACAAACTCCACTGACTCCTCTCTCACTGCTATGTCCACTATAGCTCAGGGAGAAGTTGCTGTCCCAAATGGAGCAGTTTAAGTATCTTGGTGTCTGGTTCACAACTGAGGGGAGAGTGGAGCAGGACACCAACAGACAGGTACTGCATCTGCATCACCTGTCTGTTGTGGTAAAGCCAAGCATGAAAGCAAAGCTGTTGATTTAACAGTCGATCTATGTCATTATCCTCACCTGTAGTCACAGGCTTTGGGTAGCTGGCAAAGGAATAATAGTGAGATTATAAGCAACAGAAATGAGTTTCCTCTGAAAATTGGCTGGGGTCACCCTAAAAAACAAAAATGGGACCTTTGTCACTTGGGAGGAGCTCATAGGTAGAACTGCTACTCCCAAGTGTCGAAAGAAGCCATTTTTGAGGTGGTTTGGACATTTGACCATGGCAGGCCCAGGACATGGTGGAGGGATTACATCTCTCGAATCGTTTGAGAATGCCTTGGTTTCCTACCAGAAAAGCTGGAGAAGGTGGCAGCGGAAAGAGACGCCTGGGCATCTCTACTTAGATTGGTACCCATCTAACCCAGACCCATAAATAACCCACGATTGTAGGTTATTTATCACTAAGAATACCCATTCCTTAAAAAAAAGTCCACTTCAATTTGATCTGGTGACAAATTTAAATGACTCTCACATCTCTATTTGCAGACAATGAGACAGTTAACACTAGTGCACACTAATGTTTTACCAAGTGTCTATGTCATGCAATTTAAAGAGCTATACAAGCCATCACATCAGAAATAAACAGTAACACAGAGCACTGAGGAATAAAATAAATATGTTAATATAGTCATTTCACAGCTCTGTGTGCTTGTCATGATCAAATGCCCAAATCAACAATTTTCTGCAACTTTACCATTTAAACATATTTGCAACCACAGTATTGCATTCTATTGTTTTATTTTCGTAACATTTCATACATCTTCATCTCCTGTTCTTTTGATTATGTTTCTGATCGGATTAGGTGTCTCTTAAACTGAATTTAGATTGCGTGCAGAAGAAGAGTCAAATGACATGTGAAAATCCCTTTTTAAGTGGGCATGCACAGAAGCTGAAACAGAGAGCCTACATTAACAAAGACAGTTGATAACCACCACTGTTGTACCAATTCTCTCTGACCGTGGTTTTAGGTTTTGTAATAAAGCACAGTGGTTCTCAAACTGTGGTACACGTACCACTAGTGGTACTTGGGCTCTCTCTGGTGGTACGCAGGAAATCTCCAATTTTTTTTAAGATTAAATAATATACCATTGTGGAGGTATGCAAAGACGACACGAGATTTCCCCGGGCTCTTCTAGGAGCCAGACTCAACCAGAAAACATCTCCCCTAGCGCGAGTCCTCCATGAAGAGCAGCCTTTCCCTATCGCCAGCGGTCGCAGCCGCTACAGAGCACCGGCGAGCTTGTTTCTCCGGGCCTTAAAACTGCAAAGGCAGCAAGGCGCTGTCACGCTGATGGTAAAAACACAGCCCTTTTACGCAATGCTGCCATGCCGCAATCCACTTCTTCTGCGAGTGGGCGGTAATCCTTCGTGGCCAGCAGCGGGGAGTTGGCGAGGCCAGCTCGCACTGGCATCTGTCAGAGGAAGATGTGAGTGAAGAGGAATCAGCTGTCATCCGTTCCTAGCAAGGACAACATGTTCTACATTTACTCGAGAGCAGTACCATCACCCAGGCCAGAGAGAGAGAGAGGAGTTTCTCGGCCCGCTCTGCATCGGAGAGGGAGTGGCACTGCAGCAGCAGCACCTTGACAGCGGTTTATTTCCCCTGGGTGGGAGGATCCTGGAGGAGGGTCATCACAGGGCGGGTGGACAGTGGATCCAGCGAGGCCACCACATAAACTTATTTGCATGGTATTTAATGCCAGCATTCGTGGAGAGCAAACTGAGCTTCGGTGTGCACAAATCACGAAGGAGGGGCGTGAAGCCAAAAATCCGGCAGCTTAACCTCCACAGCAAAAATTAATACGTACACCTCTGCTATCACTTCCAACATAAATGGAGACAGAAAACTAAACAGCAGTGGCGTTTGTAGGGTTGCTGAAGTTTGGCTAGCTGGTATATAATGATGTGCTGCGTGGTGGCTAGTAGGGCTGCCACAAACGATTATTTTGATAGTCGACTAGTCACCGATTATTTTTGCAATTAGTCGACTAATCAGATCATGCATCCATTGGATGTAAAACGTACAGCTTATTGCACCAGCATGCATCTGCTCTTATATAACTATCATTAGCTTACAGCTGGTATGTTTAAGGTATGTGCTAACTAAAAATAAAGGCAAGATGATAGTTTATTAAATTTTATTGAAATTTGCAGATTGTTTCAGTGAAGTTTAATAAACTCCTTGCTATCTAAAATATAACGAGACACCGGAGTATATTCTTGAGCATCTCACACTTCTGATGATCAGCTGTCTGCTTGACGCTTATTCAGCTGTGTAAAAACTAACCGATTTACTCAGGAATAAATAAAATACAAAAAAAAAGGCAAACAATAAAATTTTTAAGTTATCTAAGTGACTTATATATGTTTAACCTGAGTAGCAAAAGACGGCGGTGGGTTTAAAAACGATTTGCCGGGAGTCCAGTGTTCACACCGGCTCTAGTGAGCTTTGCCCCCGGCTAGCTATCAAGCTAGTGGGTAACAGACGTCGGAGCGCTTTTAAAAATATGTGTTGTCTTGATAAACTGAGCAGATATTTGAGGTTTACACAGCTACATTCTCGCCTGAAAATATCTTAAACGTTTATTTTGTGACCCAGAAAGAATAATAAGAGTAATATTAAAACTAACTAGCTGCTGCCATTGTTGGAAACTGAGCTGGGCTGCGCTATGAATTCTGGGACACAGCTTCTTCTTCGGGGTTTAACGGCAGCTGGCATCCTTGTACATGCAGTGCTGCCATCTTCTGTTTCAGTCCGTTATTACACTCTTAAATCCTACTACTTATTCCTGTGTCTTTTGTGATCTTACAAAGCGTCAAACAACGCGTCGACTATTAAATCAGTCGTGACTAGTCGACTAATCGTGGCAGCCCTAGTGGTTAGCTACACCACTATGGTTAGCATAATATAAACACAGTGAAGCTGGAGGATGAACTCTAACTTTTTTCCACTTAATAAAAGTTAACATGAGGGTTCCCGAAGGTTAGGGACAAATGCAATCGCATGGCAGGATGATGTAAACGGACCAAACTTCAGTCCGGAAAACAACTGCAATATAAGGTTAGTCATTAATATACTGCTGCATGGGTGTAGTTACATCATAAGGTTTTAAAAACTGAGCTTTAAAATGAATAGTGATAATAAAAACCGAGAGAGGCCGACAGTGATCACTGCCTTTTTTAGGGGCTTGTTCAGATTATATTAAAAAAAGATACAAAGCATTAAAACATGTTAAAAACACAACAGCCTTAATAAACGCAGAGTAGTTTGGACCTGGAAAAAGGTTTCATCAGGTCATCACTTAAACATCGGATATCTCACCTGCTGTGAATCTTTTAATGCAGTACAGTTGTTATTATTATCACTTGTCACATCCTGTTTATGACAGTTAAAATAAATAACATTCATATAAGAAATAAAATTGTCTCGTGTAAACTGTATGTGGCGTTAAACAGGTCTATACTTCTGTACTTCAATGTTGGTCATAACGTGGTACTTCACGAGCCATATTTTTTATGAGGTGGTACTCACTGCGAACAGTTTGAGAACCCCTGATATAGCAAATACAAAGAAATTCTGGCTATGTTGAACAAATTGTTTTAACCTTTGCTGAAATTGGCACTGGCCCCTCTATCCAGAAGCAGTTTGGCCAGGTCATAGTTGGCCACGCTGACAGCACACATAAGTGGAGTCCATTCAAATCCAAGCCTGGTCTCCACATCCACACCTGTCCACAAAAAGCCACAGCAAGCAAGACAATCAAAATAAATTATTTTATATGGATTAATAGCAACGTTAAACAAAAAATCATATATAATTGAAGAATTGTTAGAGCATTAATGCATTATTTAGAGACAACTATAATGTGTGATACAAAAAAAATGAAGTGCTTGCCATTGTCCAACAGCTGTTTAACAGTGTCTGTGTCTCCGTTACTGATAGCTTTTTTCAAAGCTGACACACTATCTTCTCCTTGTTGTTGAACAGCATCCAGCTCCTGTAAAAATATGGAACAACCATAATCAATAAAAACTGATTCCTTCATATAAAAAAATGTTAGTGCCTCCAAAAGAGTTTGTGGCCTTGCACCAAAGGAAAATCAAAAAGAATATAGTAATATGTATGTGTGTATATTGTTTTTTCCTTCCTTCATGTTTTAAAGTTAGGTTACAAAGTCTCTTCTGACTCATCGGGATAATCGTAATGCATAATCAATTCAGATGACCCGTTTTAAGCAATGAAAAATCTCAATTTATGTTAACGGCATTGTGTACATGTAAAAAAGTCATTATTAATAACAGTCTTTGCTTTACTCAATGTCTTTAGCTACTGTATTTATCTATTATAGAGAACTACTAGATATAAAGCTGTGATGCTCAATATTTCATTTTGACTTATTTAACTTTCATTTTTGTAACCTTATTTAGCCATTTTTGTATATTCTGCTTTCTTGGGCTACTCTACTTTATTTCAGCCATTTGTCTTCTAGAGATGGTACTTTTTTCAGCAACTGTAAGTGTATGTGAAAAGGCTCTGTAACACCTGTCACGTATGTCTGTGGGTGTCCTGTTGACTGCTGACACACAGTGTGTGTGAACCTCAAGTTTTATTATTTTTTAGCAAATGTAGCGATTTTTATATGGCTCAAAATGGTAAGTGCATCCATTTCCTGATTTTTTTAATCCATTTGACTAAAAACACTTACCCCTGTGTAACTTAAACCAGCTGGTAATTAGCATTTATCCTATATTTATGCATGTAGGAACCCTGCCCAAGTTACAGCCATGTTCATTTTTAAGCAGCCTCTGAACAGCAATTCAAGAACACCAAGGGTGAGAAAGAGCGGCAGTTGCACAAACTCCTGAAACTGAACTCTTAACAATAATTAAAGAAAACAGCAAATTGGTTTTCTTTGTATGTTAAATTAGCTTTCTACTACAGTAAATAAAATAAATAAAAAACAAGAAGAAAGAAAGAACATATGAGGTTCGTTAAGTTAGCTCATGTTAGACACAGAGGTTGCAGCTGTTGCTAGTTAATGCTATCACTAGCAGCATAAAGGCAAATGAGAAAAGATGGAGGGCGCTGGTGTTGAGAACCTTAATGCAACCAGAGGTTTTATCCGAATAAGGCGAGATGTGCCACTCAGCTTCGCTGCCGTCGCTTTCTTCTCCAGCCGCAAAGGCATAATCCATGGAGTTCGCCATGATTTAGCGCAATAGCTCGCTAAGCATCAGTCAGAGTGTACTCTACAGGTCACACTGGAGAGACGTTTGAGGCTGCGCACCATGGCGACCCGGTGTTGGGCGGAGTTTGACACCAAGCCAATTTAAAGAGTCCTGTTCTAGTTTAATAGGAAAATACAAATAACATAAATAGCAGTACAGTGTTTTCATAAAGTTACGCTGTACACGGAATTAAAATTGTGTCTTAAAACAGGAATTTTTGTTGTTGCTACAAGGCCTTGTTTTTGTCCTGTCTCCCGTCATCCCTGTTTGTGACAAATGGCTTTTCCTCCCTGAGCCTGCTTCTGTCTGAGGTTTCCTGTTAAAACGGAGTTTTTCCTTTCCACTATCACCATGTGTTTGCGCCTACAGGTCATCCCATTGTTGGGATTTTCTCTGTATTATTATAGGGTCTTTATCTTACAATATAAAGAACTGTTATTGTCATTTGGTGCTGTATAAATAAATACAACTGAATTAAATTAAAACAGGTGTGAACCTCGGCTCTTTTATCTAATCTGCATGAAGGTAGAATTTATTGACAACAGCTGCAAGGGACAGTCATTGTCCAGAAGAGGTCACTCTTTCTTCAGTGCAAGTCAACACCGGTTGTAGCCAACTACAAGCATCTAACAGTGCATCTCTCTGTATTTTTCCTCAGGTCCCCTTACTATCTTTTATCTTTTCTATCCCGCTCTGGCTTACAAATCACACTGAAACAAGCTATAACTAAGCACCCTTTTTCTGATTTACTTACTTCTTTTCGTATTGAATTTTCACATTGCTCTTCCCCGTGGTCTTTCTCACACCCTGGTTTGTTGTTTTCAGTTATATGATTATGGCTCATGGACATCAATGCCAGCATCGTTTTCTGTACGGAGTTTTGGAGGAGTGTTTCTACTTGAAACATGAAACGAATCCTTCACTTTCGAACAATTCTTTGCTTCTTTGTTCCAAACACAAACTCCACTAATATTTTCTCCCCTTTAAACCAGATTACCTGTCAGCACGGCTATTTCAACAAGTGATCTAATACCACACTTTATCTCTGTTCCCTTCAGGAATGTCTAGGTTTTAACCCTCCCTAAAGTGAAACGGTGCTTAACCTTTTTTTAAAGAAAAAAGTTCGTCGAAATATGTAGGAACTGTACCAGCTATTAAATAAAATGCCACAGCTTGACTATCAGAGGCAGCTTGGTAGACCTGCAGCAGCAGGACTAACCTGACTGTAAAACCTGTTCATTCGGCGGTTTTTATTATGTTATTTATGTTTCAACAAGACGTTTAAATGTTAGGTTTTCACGTTAAAACCCTAACTGTTTGTTATTTCTACTCTTCTTTTCTCTCCAAATTACCTTTTAACTGAGTGTAATTGAAGTCAGGATAATTCACATTTTGTGAGTTCTGCACTCCGGTCACCTCCCACATCTTTTCTGATCAACTAACTTGTGCCTCTTGAGTTTGGTGCCACAATATTACCCTGAAGCCAGTCGGCGTGGAAATGACGTTTCGGTTGTTGGCGAGCCCATAAAGGATAGACTGTCCTCTCCCTGTCACAGAGTGAGAGGGAGATAAAAGAGAGAGAGTGAGTGAAAGGAAGGTAGTCGAAGCGGACTGTGACTTGCAGCAGAAAATAAAACTAGGAAAACGCACAAGAAGACATTGAGTTTTAGCAAGTGGAGGAATAATAATAATAATAAAAACCTAGGGAAGCGCGCAAAGTGACAGAAGAGGTACAGTTTTTTGTTTTTTTCCACCCTTTTGGGACACCAAGACGACTGCATAGCGACGATACATTCAGAGCAGATACGAAGTGGAGAGTAAAGCGGACGAGCATCCCCTCGGAGCCACGCGGGGGACACTCAGGTGCAGGGAACTCAAACTGGCGGCGCTCTTAGAATGCAGAAGTCACCAGTAGAAGATGCGAACTTCTTCTCCAAATTTTTCTTCTGGTAAGAAATGTTTGGTGTACAGCCTTGGCTCCAGGTCCAGGGCCAGGTGCACACGCAGCGTGTCTGTTGTAAAGTGAAATTGAAGTTATACGGTGTAAAGTAAATAAAGAAATGTCAAAAGGCAATTACTGCAGGGTTCTATTCAGTTGGTAAGTGAGACGCGTTTTTCTTCACACATCTGCAGAAATCACGTGCGTAAAATACAGAGTTGTGCTCCGATGTAGTATGTTCTAGAAAGCGTTGGCAGTTGCACTTAAGCTACTGATGATTTAAAATTTGTGTAACGTGCTAGGAATTGTCATAATTCACTTTTTTGTATGGATTAAATGGTTCTTTCTTTGTTAATATTGTAGCCTAATAAAGTGGCGCCGACGCCCCACTTACTCCAATTAGAGATCCCAAACAGACAAATAATCCTAAAACCTACATGGTGTATCTGGACGAGACACCCTGTGATTCATTCACAGATACTAGCAAATATTTCTCTCAGTACTCTGTCATTAGTCTGACTATGAAACCAAAGGCTTATCATCTAGCCACGAAGAAACAATTATATTTCCATGTAATTTAAAAAGATTAATTACAAATGTGTGTGTGTGTGTGTGTGTGTGTGTGTGTGTGTGTGTGTGTGTGTGTGTGTGTGTGTGTGTGTGTGCAGGTGGGTAACACCACTGTTAAGGAAGGGCTTCAGAAAGAAGTTGGATCTGTCAGATGTGTACAAGGCTCCCTCCTTTGATCTGGCAGACAACCTCTCTGAGAGACTTGAAAGGTTTGTACATCCTGGCCGAGTAATTGTGCATTATTAGAACAATTAAACACTTTTTTTTTTTTAGTCTTTCCTTACAAGATTAGTAATAACAAAATTAATAATGATCTCCCCTTTAAACTCACCGAGTTGAAGCCTGTTTTTGGGGAACTGGTTGTAAGGTATTCTCTGAAACTAATAAAATCATTAACTGAACTTCATCCAGACTTTATTAAAACATGTAGAGAAAATGTCTAGGTATGTGCTGATTGTAGCATGCACAGTAACGAAATCCAGGTAAGTGGAACTTGTGGACATTCTGAAACCTAGAAATATGCGGCTTTGATGTTTTTCACGCATGTTCTTTACTCATGTTTACAGTAGCAGGGTATGAGTCCTTTCTTTTTTCACAATAAGGGCTGGCATTTAAACAAGGCTTGACATAAAGCAAACCTGTGTGTGCCAACAAACAGCCAGACCAAAGATGATGGACAGACGTGACCCTCTTTTTTTGCATCTGTCTTGCACTCTCTCTGATTTATTTCTGTTTCTCTCTTTGTCTGTTTCTATCTTTGTCTTACATTTATTTTGTTCAATAAAAAGTTGGATAATGATTGCAATTTTTTATAATAAATTAATTTAAATGTATCCTGTTAAGCCCAATGCTAGCAGCACAAGGGCTTCCTGAATTTTTCGTTTTTGTTATTTTGTTACTTTCTTCCTTTGATCCCTTTTTAATCTTTTCCCATTCTTGCAGATATAAGCTGGTGGCACATCTTTGACAAGTCATTTCCCAAAAGTTAAATCCCAAAAGTTAAATACTCTTATGTTTTTTAAACCTTGCCTAAAAACCACAGCAGTGTTCCACGTAGTCTTGCCTCTTTGTGGGGCTGTTGTCACGCTAAATGTGGCCAAAAGGCTGGTCAGTGTACACGGGTTTTATAAAGTCGACCTTTAGAAAGCGCCCAGTCCCACCAGGGTGATAAATGAACAGTGGTGGGTGATTTTGCTTTCATTATTCTAATCAGGCAAACAGTGAGGACTTCTGGGAACGTGAACTTTACCTTCCATTAAAGCATGCTGTGTGCCGTCAGCCTCTTTTATCACCCCCAATTCAACTCAAGTCTTTGAGCTTTCTTGGCATGACAGTTATTATCTAGCAGGAGCTGGAATGAAGTCTGGTAAAGACAACACATACACGCACGCGAATCTGCGTTTTTAATTACATTTTAATCATTTTAAATGTTGATATCATAAACATAGTGATGTTTTTATTTTAGATATATCTATGTTGCAGTAAATAAATAACATACTAGGTAAGAAGATTGCTATCAAAGCAAATCTAGAAACCCGTAATCTATAATGATTTGGCCTCTGCAGACAACAGACAATATTTTGAAGCTTTTATTGAAACCATCTGAACCAAGACTTTCTGTTTGGTATATATGTATGCATTAGAAACAAGCTAGTAAAATTTTAGAGTTTAAGAATGCATTGTGGCAAATGAAGCTCTTCTTTTACACTCCATACGGAGCATGAAACCAAAGCCTGCAGAACCTTGATTATTCAGTGGTACTCAGACTGCAAGCAGACAGCAACCAGAAGCTAGGAAGCGTTCAGTTTCAAAATCTTGTCACGTCTATCTTATCCATATTGTCTGTACACAACAGTACAGTGGTTAGCACTTTTGATTCACTACTGTATCTGCGGAGTTTGCACATGCTCCCTGTGCCTGCAGGAATATTATAGGTTAATCCTGTGATAGACTGGTGATCTGTACAGGGTGTACAGTGAATTTCACCTTATGACAGCTGGGATATCCCCATCCCTTCCACCCCCATCCCCACAGTTTTCCTGTTTGTGGCCCAGAGTTGTATATCTCTGCTTGGCAGTCAATAGGTAACACATGGCCACCTAGACATTTTGCATGACTCACTGAAATTGAAAATGCAAGGATCTCTCCCTGTACAAATTGAGACTAATTCAATATGAAAGGTAAATCTTCAATCCCCTTATGTTTTTTGTAATCACTTTCTTCCTCAATTGTCGTCGTCCCCCCCCCCCCCCCCCCCCCCCCACCCCACCCCACACACACACACACACACACACACATACACTTACTGCTGCTGGTTGGCCACATCACCGCAGCTATAAATTTCCCCTCACAGAACAATGCAGCTACTCTCTAAAGCTGTACTTGCCTGCCAGGCAGTTGTGGGAAATTAATAGAGTTATAACAAACTTACACTAAGTAATTCCTAACAATACTTGTAGAAGTTCCTAGAAAACTAGACTCAAATTCCCAACATCTAAAAGGTACAAAATTCATTCACAAAAATTATATTCCTAAATAAATGG